TGAAAATAATATTATAGTTATGATATATGTGACAGGAAGAGTAGGTAAATTTCAATTCAGACAATAAATGAGAGAAAGAGAGAGTCAGAGCTCTCGCCTATCGCTCTCTATCACCTATCTCTCTCTTTCAATGAATACCAAGAGTGAACATCAGGTCTTAATAAAATGCATACTTGCACTCCTTGTAGTTTACATGCTCTTTTCGTTTGTTCAATAATAATAATAATAAATTAACTTACATAGTAATTCTAACCCATCATATTTGTTTCATTATTTTGTTTATCTTGATACCTGTCTTTTGGCATCTGTATAAATTAGGAATAAAGTGAAATATATATGCGCATATATGTACATTTTATATGTATTTATTTATTATTTTTGAGAAAACTCTATATACATATTTTTATTTACCCGTGACAACATTATATGTAGACAATTTCACTGGTATTGAAAGTACTTTTTTATCTTGTCCTTTTCATTTATTTCGTGCAAAGCAATTATGTGCAACTCAGTTTCGGTTAATAGTAATAACTGCAAAATAGTTTCCGGATTGTTAACTGAAATATATTAAATGTATATTAGAAAAGACATCACTATTGTTATTATTAGTAGTAGTAGTAATAGTAGAAGTAATCAAGATATTAATTATCCCCTGAGTAGTCACAATTTTTATTTTCATGAGAAATGATATGTATACATTGTAATGTGAGTACATAATGTACAGGTTATGAAAATAGTAACAATCTAATTATGAGGAGTTATTTAACGGCAAATTGATTCCCAGATAATAAGTGATATCACATGGATTAATCTGTTTAGCCGACTGTTTACCATAGAATTCAAGAGGGACATCTTGTCCACTAATCTTTCCTGTCTGATAATAGAGAGAATATATATATATATATATGGTGATGATAATTTCAAGTGAAATCTTTTCACTTAACTTTTCCCTCAAATTATCATTAAATAAAGTATGTTTTAGTATCTGAAAGACATTTTAAGGCATATGCCTTAAATTGATTTAAATTTGGTAATTTTCATCACTACACCAGTTAAAGTATTCATAATTATTATGTAAACTATTTAATGTTAGTCAGCAGGAAAAATAGCTTGTCTCAAACTTCATTCTTTTTAAGGAGCACATAACATCAAAAAGACTTATATGTTCATTCAAATTCAAATTTGTCTTGCGATGTTGGAAACCGTAAGATTAAATTATTTAGGCTATCAATGAAATCCTGAAATATTGTATTAAGACCGGCTGTTAGTGAATAGATTATATCAGCAAAGAAATATAATATCATCGAAAAAACAAATGTACATTCATCTACTGATGAAACTCACCTATCCCCTTTTGAGTGATACCCATCTCTCGTAACATAACTGTAGACTAGTCCCAGTCGAGTACATACTTCACAACATTCCATAAAAGTACTCATAACTAGTTTTATTGAAAAATAAAACTAGTAGAGAATAAATTACACTATGGCCTATTGGGAAGTATGCATAGACTAGAAGATAATACACGAGAAGGCAAATTTTATGCATTTAAAGAATTCATTATTACATCCAATTTTGTGATAAATGTATAGAATAAAAACTTTCATTGTGCAAACAACAATCTAAATTGCAGTCCAGCATATACATCTATATATATATGCCTTGAAATACTTTAGTGAACACTTATTTTCAGGTCATATCTAGTAGGTGTATATATATATATATATATATATGTGTATGCGTTTCACCATTAAATAGGTGTAAATTTATACTGCTGACCTTAACTACTGCCCTGCCTAAGCTGCAGATTGTTGTTCAACCCACATTCAATATAAATGCACAGTTCATCACTTATTGGACTACAGTGGTATGAAAAATGCACAAAATTTATTATCCCCATACCTAGTTTAACTGTGATTGGTTCATGGCTGTTTTCCTTTCACACAGCAGGATTACACGCCTTATCATAATCAAATATGAATACTTAACTATGCAATTCAGTGGTAGCATATTTATGCACAAACCTGACCTAATAGTTGCTAGCCTATAAATGATAAACATACACATGAAGTTGGGCATACCCGAGTTTAGTAGACCAAAGCCCTGGCAACAAATCATTCTACAGTCAAAGCTAACATCTCATATTCAGTCGTCATAAACTGACAAATTTATCCTAAGTATATCCCAAATATTAGGAACAATAGTGTTTAAAAAAGAAGTTTCTATACATTACTAAACCGGAAAAACAACATTTGTAATAACCTGTAACTGAATTTTAACACTGAAATCCAAGTTTCAATAGTTATAGTGAACTTTATTTTTCATTTTCTGATAAAATCCATGCTAGAAAATTACCTCTGTATCTTTTTTCCGACTAATAATGCCAAGTAAACAGTATTGTTCATGCCTAACCACACTCATGGTGTTTTACTACTATTTTCCTTGACTAATTTCCCTCTTCTGGCAGTAATCGACGAGTGATATGGTATTACATGTTACTTTTTAAACTAAGTTTCCCGAAATCTGATTATGAGGCAAGAACTGGTCAACTTGTCAAACGCAAAAGTAAACAAAAGTTAAGTGATTCGCATATTTCAGGGAAATGACGAAAGGAAGGACGTAATTAATTCACATAAATGGGATCACTTAGGTTTTCTGACGATATTGGTGTAATTTAAAACAATGTCAACTTCTTTCTGTCTGTCTCTTTCATTTAAATAAATTCATATTTAATGTTGATAAATGTATATTTTTGGAATGGAAACAGGGTAAATCAATATAATGCTAGACAAATAACTAGAGATAGTTACATGATGGCTGTACATCCGTTCTAATTGGCAATTACAAATGAAGTCGAATCAATTTTGAAGTAACTAGGTGTTATTGACAAAGAACTGAAGAAACTTCTTCGCAGTTTAGCACTGTTTTATTGTCACCGTTTTCCCTGTTACGGTCAAATTTTGTTTAACAATGAAAACACTTTGCAACCGACTAAGGTTGACATTTCTGTCAGGTTTTTATCATTTCAGTTATTGTTTCATGCTTTCACTATACGATATGAAATGTGTGTGTGTGCTTATTAACCCAATAAGGGTTGGACATTTGTGTCATTACGGTCAAACGGCTTTGTTGTAAGCCGTTTAATTGCCATAAATCTATCTTGTATGAAACCCAGTACTAACGTTATACTTGCCACATTAATAGGATCTGGTCGTTTCATGTAGTAAATAGTAAACACAAAGTATTATAAATTCCATGAATGAAACTAAAACCGTAGTTGGGTTGGATTGTTTCTAAAGTGAATGCCGATGAACCTTATTTCACGAATTGTTGCCAGTTTTTGTGTAGTTTTTTTCCCCTCGAGTAAATTAAATATTTAAAGCTCTTAAGTTAGAAAAGTAGTAACTAAGTTATATATTATGTTTGTTAAATGAAGTGATACGAGTAAGTCACATTCAGTAATATGATAGACAATCTCAAATTCAATTTATTGTATGTCTTAAATTGTGGATTTTACTGCGGAACAACTTTAATCAGTGCATTTGTGACTATATATATATATATATGAACCAATTCTCTGTAATCTGACGTATTTCACGGTCATATGAGCTCAAAGCCCTTTACTTTCTCCGCATAACTGACTACAAGATAATTATGAAGTTTATTATATATAGGGAGTATGAAATAGCTTAAAATAGATAAATGAACTTCGTAAGTCTTACTAATGTATGTTTTGTTTTCCTTCATTCGTTTAATTAATTCTTACATAACAACAACATGGCTAAGCAAAAAGGAAAACATCAAATAGTAAAAAAAAGAACATTATTATTAATATTATCATAAGCTTTCGGTCCGTCTGGTTTGATGTATATCTTATATTTTTGTATTCTGTTACTATTATAATAAAGCGTGTAAGAAGAATGTGCATATGTCCACTTTAAATGTGGAAACTAGCCTTAGACTTCGATTTTATTGCTGTCTAGCTAACTAATATCACTATTAAACCCTTAATACTGATTGGTACATTCTAGTAACCCAATACACTTCTGATTTTCTGTATTGTAAAATCTGTCGTTCAATCGATAGCTATTTATGTATTCACCTATTTCTCCTTGTGCTATATCTTCTGGTTTTGTCTGTTGTTAGACAGGTATTAAATTGTGCCGTGTGTACCAGAAGTATTGGGAGTTTTGAAGAGAAAGCTGTTTTTTTTTAAAGGAAACATCATACTGTTATCAGGCAGTCAGATGAGAGACCGAAAGAAAAACTTACTTTCACCACAAACCAAAGGCTACAAAATGGGTGTGACTAAACCTAAATATTTAAAACTTTACATGCACAAGTGTATGTGCGTATGTGTGTTAATATGTTTACATGTTGATATATACAAAATGTCTGCAAAAAGAGGATGCACACAGACATGTCCAGCATTTAGGAGACCAGACTTGCATTTATTGCCTAAACTGTCTATATGGTGATTAAGACTAGGGTACAGCTAACTACTAGTGTTTAGCCTTTAACCAAATATCTCAAAGAGATATCTTACTGGTATATGCGCACAATTTTCTTTCTTGTGCATATCAAATAAATCAAATCAGACAGATGAATACAACATAGAGACATCAAATTTGCATCATTTGCCTATAAAACTTAAGCGTTTTTGGGAATTCGGTTTATGAAACACAGATTGCATAGGTTATGAAAGAATCTTTAAGAGAAAAAGTTTGTAAAAGCTGGCCAGCAGACAAGTTTTTCTTGACTACTTGAAGTATTTTACTTCAGAATGAGTGTTATATTTAAATTCAGGAGAAGCTGCCTCCACCCATGTCATAATGATTATTCCATATCCCAACAAGTATATATTTAATTTCAATCCACAGGGTGCACTCAGTTTTACTATCGTTTAAAGTACCCATTCTTTTTCAATTTTCATTTCAGATTATATACCTTTTAAGTGTTCTTCACAGTTTTTGTCAATAGTATTTATTGTTTTCCAACAGGATTACTCGTCTTTTACTCGAACATTGCTCATTAACACCGTGGATTGTGGATGAGCCACAACCAGATGGCTTGACAGCTTTACATCTTGCTTCACTGAGTGGAAATTTAGAAGCTGTAGATCTCTTTTTACAAGCTGGCGCTAGTCCAAACCTAGTTGTTCGTCGTCCAGCTGGTCTGCCTCCATTAGAGGGATGTGATTCAGAAATACTAGGCTCTGTATTTACACCACTCCATCTTGCTGTGCACAGGGCGCATCCAGATATTGTTTGCATATTACTTTGTCACGGAGCTAGAGCGGGTTGTCGCAGCGGAGCAGGACGAAGTCCAATGCAGTTAGCTCTAACTGCTTTAGCTGAAAATGAAGAGCTTCAAGTAAGTATTTTTAAGGAACAATGCTTCATATCTTTATTGTCTTATCCGTAACACCCTCCAATGAACGTTATTTAATCGTGTACTGACGGCATAACTTTATGCAAATTCACTACGTAACCAGTAGCATAACGTAACAAGGTTATGCAATTGACGTGTCGATATTTAGAAAATGAAATTAGCAGTTAAGAGTAGAGTTTATACCCAGGTTTAGATACTAAAAACATTACATAACTGTTTAATGTAGTACAGAATCCTACGAATGTACTTCATTTTATCGCTTTCATTTTATACACAAACATTTTGAATTTATCACAAAACAAAGATTAGTAATTCTCACTAACCGGGATAAAAAGGGATGAAGACTGAAATCATTCAAACTTAAAACAGTCCAAGGTTAACATAAATTAATGAAATAAATGTAAATTTGACGTCTTTTGGTGTTCTAAAAAAACAGCAAAGATTGGATATAATCACAATTAATGATGATGTGTTGAATAAATATGATAGTTATATCTATTCCCAGAACAGCATGGGACACACAAAGATCGATCAGTCGTCAAATGAAAAAAATATGTGACAGTTGAATTTACACGTAAGAGAAACCATGTTAAGAAAGAAGACATAATGCATAAGCTGTTGACAAACTGATGGTAGATTGATAGATTTAGCGAAATATAGGAGGAATTATTTCACCATAGTGATAGACAGAAAAACAGTTAAAGTAAGAGATTAGTAGTGAAATTACTGCTTTTTCAATTCTGAACTTTATATTGCAAAAACAGCAATAAAAAAACACACACTTTAGTATTTCATTATCTGAGACTATATATAACGTCTTGCTATCAGTGCCAGACACTTCCTATCCCTTCTACGTTGATACATTATTCTTATAGGCACTTATCAAATGCCGTTGAAAATGAAGTACAAATATTTAGTTGTAATATTTGCCCGGCTAGCTCAGTCGGTAGAGCATGAGACTCTTAATCTCAGGGTCGTGGGTTCGAGCCCCACGTCGGGCGCCAGTGCGTCGGTGGTAAAGCGGTTAGGACACTCGCCGACCATGCATATGGTCCGGGGTTCGATCCCCGACCGGCGCACTCCTTTACGTCACTGAGCCAGAAATAATGCTGGTAAAGAGGAAAGGTTGGGCATGAGGCTAGCAACCCATCCTTTAAAAATTAAACACTGCTACAGAAACTTCAAGCCACTAGCTTGGAGCCCTATGTTCCACTGGGAATGTGAAGGAAAAATTATTAAAAAAAATTAATATTTGCTTATAAACTTCATCATCAGTTTGTTAATTAAGGATGTATAGATTCAGTACATTTAAATAATACCACTTTGGTTGGGGCACTAATCTAACGACTACCTTTCTATTCCTTTGAATAATATAAACCTATCTTACACATCAAAATGTTAGTGGCAAACGGATGTTTTTTTTGTCAAGCTACAAGTCTGATATTGGATAAAGTATTACTGAAGAACTTCAATAACTGTTTGCACAAGAGTTTTGCATTCTCCATACTTGTTGACAGATATTGTCACATTTGATGATGAGTCATCCATTCAACAAGGCAAAATAGCTGTGTGATTAAACCATAGAAAGTTTAGTGTAGAGTATATTTATTTGGGAATTTAGGAATTAAGGAGAAATTTAAAGCAGACGATTCTAATACAGAATGACAAATAAAGGAAATCTATTTCGCATTGTATTGCATAACAAATTTAGCAAAAGGTTATCTATAATGGTTAGGTTTAGATGCGTATACTGATTCGCTTTTGCACATACATATTATTGTTGTACTTATTTTCACAACATATTCGCAGCCGAAAAATTATATGTTATCTTTCTATCCTGACTTTATACATATAATTATTTTTGAGCTGTAGTCTAATATTTTACATGTTTGAGTATACTGATAAAAAACAAAGACCATCAGATAAAATGGCGCAGTTACTGATCTTTGCTTTTGATATTCGGAGGTTCAGAAAGAGGAAATAATTAATTTTTGGCCAAAGAGTCTGACGATAGAAACTTCTCATTCACACATGAAAATAATCATATCAACATATCATCAGGAACGTGAGTTTATTGCTGTAATAGATTTATTTGATAAGCTTTTAGAGTATGAAATTGTAGTAGATTACACAACAAACTAATAAGTGATAATAAAACACAGTTGGCAAAAACAACCATATCAAACTCCATATTAAAAGCCCTATATATTTTAACCAGATAAGGTTTGCTTGCTGCAACCCTGCTGTATTGAGAAGATTCGAAAAGTAGCTAATAAATGGAGGACTTACCTGCTAAGATCTTTGTCGATAATAATCAAGCATAATGCTACAAAAATGTACTCAGAAGCGATCCTCTCTTTAACTCTCTGTCAACTAACATTATGTTAAAATTGTTTCTGTCCATAAACTTAACAATATCCTTGGGCTGCAATCAGGTAATAAGAAGCCAACAAAATCTTATTCTGCACAAAATGTTGTTCTTATTTCATTCAAATTATTAAAGAAGAATAGATGTATGAAGTTTCTAAAAATATTTAGTCAGTAAATTTCGTCACATAATTTTCTCTTAATACTTTCTTTTTCTTCATAGAGTGCCAGTGTCACACGTTTTAATGTTGCTCTTGTGCCATTTCTCGCTTCGGTAGCACGCATTCTCGTTCGAATGGCTGATTCCCTGAAATTAACGTCAGCTTCTACAGGAGTACTTTCCGGCGGCATGAATAGAGTGAGACTGCAACAAAACAGAAACAATAATGAAGAGCAGTTGATAGAGATTGACAATGATAACGAAGTGGAATCTAACCGAAATACAACAGCTGGCTCATCAACTCTAACATCTCCAAGCCCCTTGTGTCGGCGCTTGAAGTCTACAATCAAGGCAACTCTAAAAACAGGTGTTTCGCGTAATGTGGTTATTGCTGCATGTTTAGCTACAGCTATAGGCGCAGAATCGTGGTCATCCCGTCTTTCAGAAGATAGTTTAGAAATTGTCGAAGATGATATGGATAATGTGAGCCCCGAAATGATCAGTGAAAACTTCTTTACAGATATTTTTCGCGAATGCCGAGATCCCGTAATACAGTTAGCTCTACAGCAATGTCACATGGAAGCTTTGAACTTCATGAAATGTTGTTCAGTAAATAGTGAATCAGTAAATCGTAGTCCTAGGCATGAAACTAACCAACCTAATTCTCCCTTGCCTCAGCTAATATCTGATAGTGATGAGGAAAACTTAGTTGACGCATTTTTCCAAACTGATAATCGTCAAGTATCTCAAACAGATTTGATTTCAAGTTGTTCAGTTGTAGGATCAAACAATTCCTATATAATACAACCGTCAATAATGAATCAAGCAGCTGAAAATCCTTTGAACCAACCAATTTCTATTGAGAATGAACTTATTCCTGAACCAAATAACCTACAGTTTAATTTATCTCAGTCAAGTATTTATACACTTCTTCCACCTACACTTGACGAGATGGATTTAGAGTGGCGGGAGTGCCTAGTATGCTCTGAGCGAAATAGATCTACAATTATGTTGCCATGCGGTCACATTATAACTTGTGAGACGTGTACACCGTTAATAAAGAAGTGTCTTTTATGTCGACAAAGGATTACAGGGTATCATAAAGTGAGTTATCCACTACTGTTTACGAAAGGGCCTATTATTCTTAACATTGTTGTAAATACTGGGTTTTACATATTCATTCGTTCCTGGGAAAAATACTGCAAAGTAGAATGAAATTTTGGGTCACTACATTGCTAATGTATGCATGGAAATCTTATTTTCTAGTCATAATATCCAAGGTGTACACTTAGGAATTTTTAATGCTGGTATATGGAGTCAAGTATATCACCAAGTACCGTTATCCCCAATTATATAGTCTATCATTACTAGAATAATTTCTGATAAACTATGTTTCCAACTATAAACTCTCTTGAAAATATACCGTAGTGATAACTTCTTGTATTAGTGATAACTTTCTTTGAATTATTCATGCAAATTTGCCTGTAGGCATATCAAATTTTATGTTTTAGTTGATTGTAGTCTTTAATTCAACATTGTGTTACATTCTCATCATGTTTACATGTAGTAAACCTTTTCGCTAAGTCGGGATTTTTATGCTCTTATTAAGTGTTCAGCATCTTTGGGTTAAGTCAGTCAGCATCTTTTTTGTTTGCCAAGATCACCAAAGTATTTTATCTTTTACAAATAAGAATCCGTTTCTGTTCAAACAAACCTGCTCAAAAGTCGTGGTTTAAGATCATGTTATACATGTGTAAGCCAGGTACAACACATAAGTTAGTTAGGTTGGATGACGTCATCGTTTACTTTACCTGTGTAAGCCATTTAGTTGGTAAGCCATTTAGACGGTAAGCAAATCAAAAGATAATATTTTCATGTTATGTTATTTCTTCTTTACCTAAAAACACACATACTTTACGATGGATCATATTCACACATTCAATCCTACGAAAAAAAAAGTGGAATCAAAACAATGCTATGGTTAATACTTCCTCAGTTATTGAGTGGCTAGGAATTTCATCAACGAAGAGTTCATACTATTATTATATCATCACTACCATTGTTCCCTTGAGTTCTCCTTTTCAATCTGTTCTCTGCAGTCTTCTTCATCTGGCTTGACGATTGTCTATAAGCCTTCAAGTCCTCCTCACACGATTTCTTCCATATCACTCTCGGACGCCCAACTCGCCGTTCCTCATTCGGGTTCCGTTCTAGGGTTTGCTTGACACGTGATGCCACTCAATGATTTCTTGAGTGTATGTTCAATCCACCTCCATTTGTTTCGCACACATTTTCAGTGACATAGATTTTCGGGTGGTTCTCTGCCAGAGTTCCTTGTTGTTTATCTTTTCCAGCTATCTGATGTTCAGTGTAGAGCGAAGTGAGGTGCTGATGAATGTCTTCAGCGTGTTGGAAATGCTTTTCGTGAGTGGTGGAACTAGTCTGTGAATCCCGTGGAGGAACTGGTTTATCATTAGTGTTGAGAATCCGAGTCTTCTTCTGTGAGTAAATGGGGGCGAATTTCCACATTGATTTTGGAGTAATGAAGGTGTGTCTTGCCTTTTCAATCATGACTTTGACACCCTGATCCGTTTCGCGTGTAGTTGAAACTCTGCTGCGTAGATGAATGAAGGAAGCGACTTCCTTCAGATGTCTTCCGTTGTTGGTGATCGGTGTTTGTTGTTGTTGGTTGATGGTTGGTCTCCCTCCTCATCACCTCCATCTTCTTTCTCTATGTTGATTTGAAGTCCTGTCTTTGCTGTCTATTCTGGCGAACGGTTGTTGTTTCCACCTGGAGATCTGGGAGTTTGTGTGATATCAGGTATATATCATCTTCGAAGTTCACATGTACTAGAGTGTAATCTCGATGTGATGTACAGTCGTCTCCCCACTCGTGAGAGTTTGTTGCATGATCCAGTCCACCACAATTAGGAGTGTCATTGGTGATAGTGGGGAGCCTTGTCTCAGCACTGTATTCTCTTCACATGCTTGTCTGATCTTTTGGTTGTGGATTACCTAGCACGTGACACCGTCATACAACTGATGAATGATGGTGATAAAGATTTGGTGAGCTCCGTTGCGTTGAATCAATTACTAAATTACTTGACATTGGAAGACCACATACTAAAGTATACCAATATGCATTTTCATATTCTTGTTTATGTAGCCTAACTTTGCGATCTTTTTTGTTTGTTTTTTCTCTCCTCATATATAGTTTGCACCATGCTGTGAATGTAGTCTGTCAAATGGTGTAGTGTTAGCTAGACCTTGTAGTCATATGCTTTGGTGTAAATCTTGTTTAGAGACAAAAGTTCATCACTTGGAGATTATCCACCAGATAACAGCTATCAGTTTTGGTAGTAGTGATGATGATGAAAGTGGTGGAAGTCTAATTAATACAGCTAGCAACAGTGTCGTCAACAGTAACAATCCTTCATTATCAACAGCTGTAGCAGCAGTAGCAGTAGCATCTGCTTCAACATCAACAGGTATTGCTACAAATACTCCTGCCGTCCAATCAAATCGAGATATTGACGAGTTAGATCCATTATTTGCACGTGATGTGCCAGCTGCGTCATCATTTATTACAAGAAATAACAACATAAATTCGTGGCGAAATGTACCATTAGGTCGTTTACTATCAATGATAACGAAACTTCACAGTTTACTGGATGAATTGTTAACCGGAGGGATTTGTTTAAGCGGATGCCCAACGTGCGGAAATGCAGTCCAGTCATTATGGCCAGTAATAGTAGCCTGTTCTGGTGTTAATCATCAGTCTACTAGTGTTGCCTTAGGACAAGACAGGAGAGATTCAAATCCATTTACTGTGAATTCTTCAAACAACAATGAAGCAAACCTTATTTCCAATGTTTCCAATATTACAAATGTATTGCCTACGAATAATTCTGTCTTGGGTAACGTTCAGACGGAAATGGAATTAGTTCAGAACCAACTTTCAAGTATGTCATTGGTTGTTTGTTGTGTAAAGTATATGTATTTTTTTCTCAAAAGTGATTACACTTGCAACGTTAAACACCTGGGATTTCTCTTGTGGGACTGGAAAATATTTTTAGGATATTATTTAAACTGAGAAATTATTTTATGAAAGACATTACGATCATTCCTAAATGAGTACATAATAGTGAACCACAAGCTACAGTTAAAAGTAACCTCATTTACCTAGGTACACCTCTTCTACATCACAATGTTAAGGAATGTATAATATCGTATCGATATCACTGACAGAAACCTGTCAGTTTCTGTTTTGAACACCAATTGTTGTTATTATTATTTAAATTTTGTTATTATAAGGCTTAGGAGATGTTTTTTAGTTGTGCACTGTACTTACAGAAAAAAACTATACATTTAAAATGTGTGATTAAGCCAAAAAAAATACGTTAGTTTAAACTCTCTTTTTGGTTTCACACCAGATACATACACATACATACATACATACCCCATATTCTCGTGGGGTTTTATCGAACAAACCTGCAGCAGCACAAATATGAACATGAACAAATCTTCTGACAGCGTATTTTCATTCAAAAGGCTTTTTTTTAATTTTAGCAATACTCTTTGTCTGCGTTAGTGTTTGTATGTAAGCTAAGCGCTATGGAGGAAATAACACAACCTTAAAACCTAAATGCAACATAAAAGTCATAATGACCTTTTTTCCCTTCCTAATGACTCATCAAAGGTCAGATGTTTAACACTACCATATTATCTCTGACACAAATGACGAATGTAAAAGCACTAATTCTCATTGATTATTTATATGCTTAGATGGAATGGTTTTCTTCTGTGAATGCAAATCATTCTCGAAGTAAATTTCTGTTTTGTTTTTTTTCAAAACATAAAGCAACCTTTATATATTTCTGTGCAAAGCAAAGTCGTGGTAATTCCTAGCCTCTTCTAAAAACTACACTGTCCCACATTGTCATCTGTCTTACACTGTAATTTTTATCAATACACTTGTTAGACATCACAACATCTAAAGGTAAAAGAAAGGATGGAAACGAAAAATGATGAAAATTAGTATGTTAATAATGCATTGCCAGTTGATTAGAACAATTTCAATCCAACTGGCTAAACTTCAGCTAGTAACTTAGATTATATGTGTGTCTAATTGCTTTTAATAATACTTGGAGATATTGTGTTTCGGTTGCAACTCTCTTCTTCTCTCTCTCTCTCTCTCTTAAGCACAGCAAATCGCCTACCCCCAAGGTTAGATTTCATAAACTTGATGCACTGGACTAATTATGCTTTTGTTTGTCAATATGCATCTATTAGTGTGACCCAGTCAACATGAAATAGCTCACTATTATTCTGGTTAGCAATCTAACAATAAAATCTCCTAACACTTATTGTTTATTTATTATATGCTAGAGTACACGTTGCTGATTAATAACACTTGATTAATACTAAGAACTGGAGAAACACCTCAAATCTCATTTTAAACTGTTCACGGGTGTAGTAGTAATGTAGATATGATGGAGAAGATTTATAGCTCAGATGGATGTTAGGGTAATGAAAGCTTTGCAAATAAACCACCATTCAGCTCAGAGAACACAACTACATTGAGCAGTAATGTGCTTGTCATAAAACCTAAAAGCATTCAGTTCATTTCAATAGAGATTGCCTGTTTCACTTTACGAAAAGCTTCAAATAAAATAAACAATTAGTGAACCCTCCATTATTTTAAATACTATCGTTTAATTGATGCCAAATCCAATGACAAATTTATCTTCAGGCCTGTCAACACTATTTAATATTCATGATGATAATGAAAATAGGCTCTAATACATTCTCTTAAATCTGCTTCAAATAATGAAATTTCAACTGAATACTGGTCACACATTTATTTGCTGGTGTTTTCCAACTTTTATTATTTACCTTATCGATTTATTTTTGGTATGAAAACTGAAACGAAGTAGTACTTTACTTATTACTGCATGATTCTGTTTAGTTAGGATAGATCAGTAAATTCACATATACATTTTGAAATCTTAGAACCGGCGTACATATATATATATATATATATATATATATATATATATATATATATGAGAGAGAATGTGTGTGTAAATAAAATGGACACTTATTCAAGTTGTTGACATTTTGTACTTTTTTGAACAGATAAACCACCACACAATGTGTCTCCTATGGATAATCAGACGTTAAGTGGCTTGGTAAATTCGTCCAACCGACAGGTAAGTCTGCAAAAAAAAATTTTTTTTTCTTAAAACACATACACAGTGCCTTAAAAAAATATTTCCTAGCAATATTTTTAATAAGTCAGCAAATACGTAGTGCCTTATAAATTAATGCTTTTCCGTAAGCTTAACTATTAACAAGTAGCAAAAGTATTGCATAAATTAAATTTTTTATTTCATCGAAAATATTTTCATTTGATTCATATAATTTTAGGGGATAATAGCACCGAACAATCAGTTACATCAAGATGTGAATCAAGCTGATATACGTGGACGACCACGAGGTCCAAGAGCTCCACTGTGTGAACGTGAGCTACGTAGACTGAAACATGAACTGCAAGTGATGAGGGAACAGGTGGGTGTCTTTTATGTTAATATAGATTATTTGCAAATGAATGTTACAAATCTCATTACAAGTAATCAACAATTTTCATAAATTCAATAAATTGCCTTGTTGTAATAAGTGATGTTTGAATATTAATTATTACAGACAACCTGACTTTACTGCAAGATATCCAGCATCGGCAACCACTTATTCAAATCGTATTGGTTTATTTACCCTCGAGTAGCTCACAGTTACACACTTGACTAAAATGCGAACTCATCAGCCTACTAGAGTGACCTCATTCAATGATAAAGTCACTATTCAAATTTAACCTCTTATTTGTATCATTTATATAACAGACAGTCAGTCATAGATTTAGCGTGCATAAACACATGCTAACTTTGTTACCTTTCATGAAATATTAAAGTAGGGGGATACTAGAGCGGTGCACTACACAAGACTGTGATATCCTTTATCATAAAAATAACTATAACAAGGTGATATTCTTATGAAAAATTCAGCTATCAAGCTACTTCATCGAAAGACAATTCAAATTTCTCGGGTTTCATGAAATGCCAAAGTTTTACATGATATTTTCTACAGTGAAATGTATTTCATGCTATTCATAAAGCATAAAAAGGCAGTCACAAAGTCTCACTATCGTTAGCGCTACCAATATATCATTTGAAAAGGTTTCATTGTTTTTTTCAGAAGAATGGTGACTGAACAAAGAATGTTCTTTTCCGGTAACTATTTCATCAGGTTCTACAGTCATTTATACATAATAGTGAGTGAATTAGTGTCATTAACAACATTATCGTTGAAATAACATTGAATCAATAATGATATCAATAGATTACAGTTCAATAGCATCAACATAACAATATACTGAATGTCAGAAAGACTAGGAAAGATAATACTACAAGTTCATGAATTTATAGTCTCCACTGTGAAGGCCAAGGCAGTAGTATTTATTGGCTGTACTTGCTTCTTTTGCACTGAAAGCACTGGTTGTTTAACACGAATGGCGACAGCCTCAGCTGTTTGGAGCATGCGGTGCTTCAATGTTTTTGTGAATTTATTCGGCACGCGGTAGATGATAGACAAGGATCCAAGTGGAAGTGATATTCTCTATAAAAAGAAAAATGACTAAACTTCTAGAAACGCCTTTGTAGAGAATTGGATAGCCATTGAAGAGTCATGACTGCTATAAACTTAAAGTTCTACTGATACTGTTACCAACTTTTAGTAAGCTAAAGGAAAAAAATTATCCATATTCAAGGGAGTTATACTGAACTCATCAGGTATCTATACTTTCATGAACCAGCCGTATATGAACCTAATGTATAAAATACGAAAGGGTCTTCTAATTTATTGTATATGTGTGCGATTACCTATATTCACAAATATAATATGATGACTGAAATGTTTGCTGTCACTTTATATAGCAAAATTGAAATCCCTGGAATTTTTAGGCATGCTGTCACATATTTTACATAAATTTCATTGTATAAAGACTTTTGATACAGGGTAAACTGAAAGAAAGATAATGACAGTTGTGCAGTTGCCAGCATACAGCTGAGAGAATTAAATAACACTGATAAATATCAGCCTGAGCTAAAAATCTTTTTCATCAATTTGAAGTACGCCTAAATTAAGCCTGATAGAATAACCTTCCTAATCAAATTCCAGAAAAGTATTTAATGGTGTAATCAAGAGCATGGCTTTGTTTTTCTATAACATGAAACAGATAAAAACTGTTGGCATATGTTTTTGACAGTGATTAAGTGGGAGCATTGGCTAGTTAAAATATGTTCATGGTGATAGTTTTATCTAAAGCATAAAATATGTAGCCATAATTTTGTGAAAAACTTTGCATCTAGGTTTTTTACTTGTCAGTACTCATTAGTTAATACCTCTCTAAACCTTTACAGGGCCTGTATTCCTTCTGAGATGGGCACTCGCCTTACTCATTGTTGACATTAAAGGTTTTATCATCAATGCTGTATACTTTGATAATCACCGTGATCCTGTGGTTGCCGTACACACAGTAATTCAAGAACACATCAGTTTGTTGAATTTGTCTACAACCGAAGTATTGCATTTTTACTGGAAAGGTGATAAACTCTGAACAATTGTGTACAATATTTATTAAAAACCACTCGTTTTTTTATATGTTTTTCAGATCCGATGCCCCATATGTTTGGATCGTTCACGTAATCTAGTTTTTATGTGTGGTCATGCAACATGTCAGTGGTGTGGTGATCAAGTAACCGTATGTCCAATATGCCGTAGGGAGGTAGAAAGCCGAATAATTCTTTACTGAATTCCTTGAATTACCCTTATCCTAGTGAAGCTATGTAGAGAACAGGTTGTTAATAACCAGAAGATTATGTTAAATTTGCATCGTTGTGCTAACCTTCTTTAAATTGTTTGGTAATAAATGTATTTTGTCACAAAGAATTTATTTCGTTGCCTTCATTCGATTGTTAGTTATGTTAGACAGGATATTATTAGTGTTACCTTAGGTTCGAAGTGCGGTATAAGGCTTTAGCAGCACATCTCCTTTTCAATCTAATCTCTGCAGTCTTCTTCATCTGGCTTGACGATTGTCTATAAGCCTTCAAGTCCTCCTCACACGATTTCTTCCATATCACTCTCGGATACCCAACTCGCCGTTCCTCATTCGGGTTCCATTCGAGGGTTTGCATGACACGTGATGCCACTCAATGATTTCTTGAGTGTATGTTCAATCCACCTCCATTTGTTTCGCACACATTTTCAGTGAGATAGATTTTTGGGTGGTTCTCTGCCAGAGTTCCTTGTTGTTTATCTTTTCCAGCTATCTGATGTTCAGTGTAGAGCGAAGTGAGGTGCTGATGAATGTCTTCAGCGTGTTGGAAATGCTTTTCGTGAGTGGTGGAACTAGTCTGTGAATCCCGTGGAGGAACTGGTTTATCATTAGTGTTGAGAATCCGAGTCTTCTTCTGCGAGTAAATGGGGGCGAATTTCCACATTGATTTCGGAGTAATGAAGGTGTGTCTCGCCTTTTCAATCATGACTTTGACACCCTGATCCGTTTCGCGTGTATTTGAAACTCTGCTGCGTAGATGAATGAAGGAAGCGACTTCCTTCAGATGTCTTCCGTTGTTGGTGATCGGTGTTTGTTGTTGGTGGTTGATGGTTGGTCTCCCTCCTCATCACCTCCATCTTCTTTCTCTATGTTGATTTGAAGTCCTGTCTTTGCTGTCTATTCTGGCGAACGGTTGTTGTTTCCACCTGGAGATCTGGGAGTTTGTGTGATATCAGACATATATCATCTTCGAAGTTCACATGTACTAGAGTGTAATCTCGATGTGATGTACAGTCGTCTCCCCACTCGTGAGAGTTTGTTGTTGTCGGTTGTGGATTTCCTAGCACGTGACACCGTCATACAACTGATGAATGATGGTGATAAAGATTTGGTGCGCGTCGTCGCGTAAATCGCCATCTAATATGTGGAATCTATTAAAGGAAATCACAGGTGGTAAGCAAATAATGAATGATATTTCTGTAGATGTTCGCATGCCTAATATATCTTTCATATGTATCCCTGCAGATGTTATGACTCCTAACTCAAATAGCGTAAATAATGATTGCTTCTCATGCTTTAATACGAATGATGTCCTCAAGTGTCTTCAATCTCTCAAACCTACTCAGTCCCTTGGTCCCGATGGTGTTCGTGCTGTTATCCTTAAGAAGTTTGCTGATATCTTGTGTTCCCCATTAACTGAAATTGTCAATAAATCGTTTTCCAAAAGTATCATACCTGACTCATGGAAAAATATCCAGATCGTTCCAGTGCCTAAATCAATAAGTGGACCATATGTTAAGTTTGGACCCATTGCTATTACCCTACCTTTTTTGAAAGTTATGGGAAGACGTATTTTACCTAATCTTGAGCGCTCTTGAAAGCCTTTCCATAACGCTAACCAGTTCGCCTATAAACATAGCAGGTGCACCTTAGATGCCGCTGTTGTCCTACATCATAGTATAGTCTCTAGTTTAGATAAAGGAGCTAAATACGTTCGCTATGCCTTCCTTGATTACACATCTGCATTTGAGTCTGTTCCTAGGTCTCTCCTGCTAAGTAAGCTTGCTGCAACACAGGCTGAGAGCTGGACAAATAAGTGGTTGCATTCCTATTTTCTTGATAGGAAGCAGTACACCGTCTACAATGGAAAGTCCTCCACTACCACACTTACTTTAGCTGGTGTTCCTCAAGGTGCTGTTCTTTCTCCTTTTCTATTTTCTTTTTTCTTACATGACTTGCCTCATACTGATGTAGCCACTTTTGTTAAGAACGCTGATGACCTCTCTGTTTCTACGTCTGTCAACTCTCAGTCAGATTGTTCCAATTTAAATAACTTTCTATCGGAAATTAGTCAGTGATCCTCTTCAAACGGTCTTAAGCTAAATCCGTCTAAATGTCAGGTAGTCAATTTCACTTTCAGACGTAAACGTGACCTACAACAACTAGTTAGCTCACATTGACGGCATAGAGGTTGAAAATACATCTGATGTCAAGTACCTTGGGCTGAGTTTTTCCACCGATGTTTCCTGGTCCCCCACATCTTGCTAGTTACTAGAAAGATGTTTCGCTTAACGTTCTACGTTAGGAAGTTAAGGCAGTCTGGTATAAAGCACTCTTTGCTTTCTCAGTTTGTCAATTCTTGTATTCTACCCATCCCCCTTTACTGTTCCCTATTAATCTTTCCTGGACTACTTAAGAAAGACTTTGCTTTGCTGAGAAGGGCACTAAAAGCTGTTAGTAAGGCAAGTGGGATATCGTTAAACCAACTGGTTAACACTATTGTGGATAGACATATAATGTCATGTAAGAAACTAGCGAATACAATATTGTCAGACCCCGAGCATCCTCTCTATACGCAGCTATCTCCTTGCATTTCATCTGGTAGAACTAGAAGCAGCCATAGGAGGCTATATGCTAGGACTACCAAGTACGAAAGCTCCACAATACCATATCTGGCACAGCTGTTATGTGATGGGAAATCCGTTAGGTATGACACGATCAACTTACTGCGGCACTCTAACAAATAGTCCCATTGGTTTTTGTTTTCCTTTCCTCGTTACTTTCACACTGTTGCTCTCATCTTCTATTACACAACAATTTTATATTTCTTATCCTGTGGTGCATTGTTTAAAATGTAAACGCAACGCTGTTGTTTTTATTATTTTTTTTTATTTATCTTTTTTGGGAGTTGGTTTTTGATTTTTAAATCTTATAAAATTTTTGTGAGGTAATTAGATGCACTATTGTAATGCACGCTGAAAATTTCATATCTGTACCACAAATACTGTTTGGAATAAAGCTATTATTAATATTATTAAATTACTTCAAGGTGAATGCTCTTTAAGGCGTTTTCAAAGCCGATAAAGTTGAGCTAGATGTTAGACTGACATTCTACGCTCTCCTCTATGACGATGCATAAGACTGCTCTGTAAGCCTTAGAACTACGTGTAACCAATCATCAGCTGTCTCATACTGTGCTACACCAAGTGAGGAGCAAGTCACGGTTATATCACACACTGATTTATTAGTTAGATACACGAATATGTGCACATAGGTGGAATTCTTAATATAATAAATAATCAGTTCGTGTTTTCCATCTGTATGTTTGTACAACAATTAAATTAATTATTTTAGTATCTTTCGGGAAGTTTGTAACAGAGACAGATCAGGTGAAGAAACAGTCATGATAAGTGACTGATAGTCAGTGAGAGATAAAGTAGTTGAAATAGAAATACAAATTTTCGCTTGTCAGTATTTCGCTGAAGCAATAATGCTGAAGGATTTAGTCACTTTGCAGAATACTGTTATGTAGTTGAATAGAGAGTGGAAAGCCTAAAGTAGTTGAAGTTACAATACACAACTTTCTGAAGAACACCGGTATATTATTTCCAACTTGATGGATCCAAGTCTCTGCCGAAAAGACTAGAATCGAGTACTGGTGATACTGATAAAAACTTCAAATTTTTTAAAGAAGTATTCATCATTTGGAGAAAAATGATATTAGCAAATTAGTAAAAGTGGTTATGTATTTACTTATATGTGTCACATGGCGAATTCAGGTTTGATGGAAAGCTGGAAAAAATTATTTAGATCATGAATTTATCTGCATTACTTTAACAGTATATTCGTGATACTAATAGAAGACGTTTGAACAAAGCAAGAACAACAATTGTACCAGGATAATATGAGCTCATCTTTTATTATTTCGAGGATTCTTCTCACCTGAACTACATCAAAAATATGAACATACTTTTCCACGATCATAAGGAGTAATTGGTAAGAATTAGTCCGGAACGATTTAACTGATTAGGAGTTACAAACACTGACTATTTAAAGAATAATTAGACAATTAGGCTTGGAAACAAAAAACAGGGTTGTATATATATATATATATATATATATATATGGAAACAAGGTTTAGTTAGAAAGAGCATAACAAAAAAGTAGATTACGTAACTAAAGAAAGCATCTTATCTAATAGCCAATAGAAAAAAGGAAAGAAAGGAAACAAGGTAAGGTGAGTCATGTTTAGATGAGAGAGTAGAGTTTCCTAAACATGAAAAAGGTGACTCATGAAAGTTATATATTTTTTTTGTCAGGACATTTGTCCGGAATTTTTAGGGATTGGTTATTTGAGGTATACTGGTATTACATTCAGCTTGAAAAAAGAATCGAAATGCGTAAATGCACCTAATTGGGAAATAGGAATATTAAGCATCGCAGTATAATCTGTTTTCAGAAAGATAAAACAGTCTAACAGATAACATGAGTTTCGAATTTTCATATACATATATATATATATATATATATATATATATATATATATCATCATTTCGATGGGTTTTATTTGTTTCTGGTCGCTCTAGGTTTATTCATAGATAAGAGAAGAAATGAAATTTGTATGTTTGTCAAGAATCTTTTTTCGAAGGGTAACAATTGCATGAACTTCGCTGTCAGAGCAGAAACCGAAATCCTAAGTTGTAGCAGTGATGATGGGATACAAATTATATTGTTATTATTGTTCCCTTGGGTTCCTAGTGGAACATAGGGCTTCAACTGCACGTCTGCATTTGCTTCTGTCTTCTGCTGTGCTTTTCACCTGCATCCATGTTAGTCCATACCGTTTCAACTCCTCTTCACACGATCTCCTCCATGTCACCCTTGGACGTCCCCCTCGTCGATTCCTTACCGGGTTCTACTTGAGGGCCTGACGCGCGATATCACCCAGCGGCCTCCTCAGCAAGTGTCTAATCCATCTCGAATTTCTCCTGTATATTTGTTGGGCGACTGGTTCTTGTTTTGTTTGTTACCACCCATAGTTTCTTGTTGGTGATTCTTTCCGGCCCGGTCATCTGATCTTCAGTATAGAGCGAAGACAGTTGTTAATAAGGGCCTGCAACAGGCTGCTGGAAATATTCTTTGTGACCCGCCCGCCAAGTTTCTGATCCGTATAGGAGAACTGATTTGTCATTTGTAATGAAGATCCGAATTTTGTTGTTGATGCTGAGTGATGAAGATTTCCAGATTGGTTTCAGTTGGTTGATGAACGTGTTTCTCGCCTTCCCGATTCTCGATTTGACATCCTCGTCCGTTCCGACTTCCTGTAGTTGAGACAATGCTCAATGCTAGATAAGTGAATGAAGTAACCTCTTTCAAATCCCTCCCGTTGATGGTGATTGGCGATGGATGTTGCTACTGTTGTTGTTGTTGTTGGCTGGTTATTTACAAATTGCTCACCATATATACATATATAAAATCAAGGTTAAGAAATAAACATTATGGTACTTATTTAAAGTATAATAATTATAGCCCGAAAGGATTTTCTTATGAGTTTATATGTTGTATTATCAAGTCACTAGATGAACTTTGATAATAGTGAACCTGTTTTAGAAGTCTTCAGTGAAGTTTAAACCCAGAAAAGCTGTATGTATAATAGAAATTTTATTAAAAATTTAATGGATTCCACAAAGCTCTGTTAGAATTCAACATCCTGCTACCATCTCACCCCCGCTCCACAGAAAAACTGATATTGTATGTGCAGATTTTTCTTCATATGTAAACAGAGTTTTTTTTTACTTCAAATCTGGCATTCTGTAAATATTTGTTATCTTTGTCACCAATCTGGCAAAGTAGAATATTCTGTGTAAAGGAAAACTGATCGAATTACCATAGATATTTTAGTTCCAGTTTATTATTTTGATAAAGTTATTAACACAAAAGAGGAAAATTTCTAGAAGAATCAGTGTTAGTTCGCTCTCCTAGCGTTTAAAAATATAAATTTCGGGTAATAATTAAGACTGAAATGCCGTTCTTGTTGAAATCTTCAAAATGAAATGATTATATTCTCAAAAAGAATTCTATGTAGTCCACCTTACCAGATGTTTTAAGGGCTTCCATTAATTATTCTGTATTACCAAAATACATCATAACTGTTTGTGAAACTACCTAAAGGAGTTTTAGATTTGAGGACTGATTTCTGTATAGTGTAATACCACGCATGAATGTGAAATAAAAATTCCGATTACGTCGGGGTTCCAGCCGGCTCACTGATAAGTCAACGGTTCCTATGAGTTTGTAGATATATGATACCAGTAATCATAGGTGATGTCCTGATCTAAATTTCCACTTCACTGTCAATTATTATGTATTACGAAAATTACAATTACTAATAAATTATTCCTTCGAAGACAAATTCCTATTGGAAACTTCAAGTTAATTTTGATACGCTCTCAGGACCCCACAACATCATAAATTAGGCACAAACTCAGTTACATAAGGTGTTTCAGCCAATTTCAATGTTATTTCTTTTTTTCAATCCTTCACGTTCCTCAGTGGAACATAAGGCTTCAAGCTAGAGACTTGAAGTTTCTGTAGCGATGTTTATTTTTACAGGATGGGGTTGCTAGCCTTATGCACAACTTTTCCTCTTTACCAGCATTATTTCTAGCTTGGCGAGGTAAAGGAGTGCGTCGGCCAGGGGTGGAACCCTGAACCACATGCGTGACTGGCGAGCATTCTACCGCTGTGCCACCGACGCACGAATGAACGAAAAGTAACTATATGAGAATAAAAAAAATTAATGTCTCTGGAGTGATTTATGGTAGGTATCACAGTGTAACATTGAACTTATTTCGCCTTTTTAATTCGCATATTTAAAGGTTGACTACTGAAAACAATCAGACAGCAGTTTTTCTAAATCTAATTGTATTTCTACTGGTGATCCCTCTGTTTCGCTGGTTTTTAGAGGTGTAACTGAATTTTGATAAGCTTGTTTCACATTCTGACAGATTTGTTGTGGTTGTCAACCACTGAAGAGTCACAAACTATGGTATTTTCTGAGTCAAAGTTACCTTCAAATCAATATAACTGTCGAAAACCTAACTACGTAGATACTGTTCCACACAGTCCAAAGGCTATTTCTATGTTTATTTGTTGTTTAATTTAAATCAAGTCAGCCGCTTTTTGAACAAAATCCTTAGTATCTAAGTCAAAATTAAGAAATCATCTCACTGAAAACGAATCAACAGAGTCAAGAATAGACATAAAACAAACGCCCTAACTCTTTTTTAGTTTCTTATGGAACTCAAATAATTTATTCACCTTCCATAAATCTTTTTAAGTTTAAGTTTACTTACTACTAGTGAGAAAGAAATTTAGTTATCTTTAAGATACTATAGTCAAAGTACAATGAGTACTTATATGACTTGATTAAAAGTGAACCATGCAATTAAATGACCAATACACACACACACACTTTCTCTGTATACAGGCAAAATCTAGGATTAAAAACAAATGATATACAGATTTTAAGTGCATGCGTTTCTAAAAAATTGTTACTGAACGAAGAATATTTTTTTCAACAACTTCATCATCAGGTTTTACAGTTATGTATCCATAATAATGAATGTTAGTAACAACATTAATGTTTAAATAACATCTAATCAATAAAAATATAAATGGATTAGAGTTTAAAAGCATCTGTAAGCATGATAATATGCATCAACATAACACTACACTGAATATCAGACAAATCAGGGAGAACTAATACAGAATTCATGAGTTTATAGGCTCGACGGAAGTCCAGGGTAGTAATAGTGATTGAATCTATTTCTTCTGCACACAAAGCAGTGTTTATTGATCTAATCTAACATTTCAACAAGTTATTTTAATGGTTAAGCGCATCATATATTGACCAAAAATGTTCCTATAGGGCCACACCAATGAGAAACTTATTTGAAGAGAACTTCCTAGTATGATATGAAATTTGCTATGGAACTGTCTATTTTTCACGGGTATTAATGTCTTGGAATTCGATTTCGGGATAGATCTGAGATATTACGTGAACAAAATATTGCAACATAAGTGAAATGAATTACTTCTCAAACTATATTTCAAGGCAGAGGTAACAGTCTGTAGCAACAATAAAAGTAGACACTCGTAATGTTTAATTTAATGGCACTGATGTTTTTCGACTGAAAATTTATGTATCAGGATAAAGTAGTAAAATATACACAACCGAGACAAATGAAACAATTAGTAGCGTCACTGAAGATAATCGAAGTAAATAATGGTAACAATAAACAGAAATTCAACAACATAAGTTATGCAAACAGTTGATTTGTAACCAGATAATATACCATCTGTTCAGCAGAAAAAGTTTAGAAACCAAATTAAAATTTTTGGCTTTATATATATATATATATATATAAGACTAGGAGAAATGTGTTTGCTGTTGACTATTGCGCAGAGAGGAAGTAAATGCATTGTGTAACAGACATAAATGCCTTTTATAGGAAAAAAGTTAAGAAATCAAATAAGAGTAAAACGCAAAATGATTGCGTGTCAACACCAATAATAATAATAACAGTAGCAAAAACGAGATTCGCATTTTGTAAAAGAATTTCTACATAAAATGTTTGGTAAGATTTATCTCACTGTAATATGTAGAAAATGTTGTTAATGGTCATATTACCGGGATGACATGTGGATTGAATTTAGAATTCAATGGGAAATATACAGAATAACAATGAAAAGCTCCAGAAATACTGTAAAAAATTGACATGCATAGGTAGATGATGCATCAGCGAAAATAAGAGGTGGAGGATATAATTCATCTGCTGATGGAGTTTCAAACAAATACCATATAGGTACGAGATCATTTTGTCTAAAATGCATCAGAAGGTTAGCCGAACTCTTTGACTGTTCAGAATTACGATAATTTATTCCTCTACCAGGAAATATTTGTTGCAATAGAGGTTTTAATGTTGGTGTACGATTCAGAAAACCATACTGTTGAATATCAATCCCATCCAGCGAATAACCATAATGATTATAGGCTTCAATGACTAGCTGAAGAAAGAAGACAGATGAGAGCACTGTTTACTAATTGTGGAAATATCTGTCAACTGACAACATGTAAAATTTGCAAGTATGTTAAAACTTTTCTGTGCATGAACCTCAAAATTTATTTAGGCTGTAAGCAGATGATGAGAAGCCAACGAAATAAATGATGGTACCGTGTTATTCTGCACAAACCACTGTTGTTCTCGCTTTATTCAAAGACAGATGAGAGTTGAACTATTTCAGTCTCCGTGATGTGATTTCTGAGATAGTATTCTTCAAAATATTATATTAAATCCAGAAACCTCTTTCGAATATTCAACATATTTTTTAACAATGGCAAGTATCTCAAAGACTAGTCAGTGAGTTAGTTTGGTGGCTTTAAGCAACAGTAACATAGAAACACTTCGTAATTGTGTAGCTGCATATAACTGACACATTAATCATAAATTTATTGATAGTTTTAAGTGTTATTTCGAAACAGTATCATCACTTTCTTCAAGTTTAAATAAACCTGTATACCTGACGTAAATAGGCACTAACTTACTGTCCGTATGCAAGACATCAATAAAATTGGCATGGGTTGTGATTTTACAAAGTCGCATCATGAGAAAATTACTCCGTTCCCTCGTTTTTTAGTTTTAGTGGTGAGTCCAAATTTTAGAAAACCCTGAAAAAAATTTACTTCTAAAAATGCTAGAATCTCACTAATTATTCATATTCATTTGTTCTATACATAAATTATATGAAACGAAGGACTCGATCAATACTGCCTTCTTTAACTCCCCAATGAATTTTATACACTTAAAACAATTAATATACATTTTGTATCCATTTTAATTTCACTTGAATTAGTTCAGTAGTTAGGTCAATTCGGATCAATCAGTGTTCACCGAGGCATTATGAATTATTATGCATACATTTAGGATATATAATAAATGTTCAATTTAATAAGCGTCTTTCTAAGTGAAACAAAACTTAGGATAGTGTGAATAAATGACCACCTATGTATGGTTATGGGGAAAAGATAATCAGAAGTGAAATGTACAGAAAGATTTGACAGTATATTGGACCTGAAGCAAATCTGATTAGTTCTAATTAGTTAAATGTCTAGCTTGTATCAAATAAGAAACAAATGGCAAATAAATGAATACTGCCAAAATAAATAAAAAAAATTCAGTGTTTGAAAAAATTGAAAAAAATATAAGAAATAACGCTAACTATAGGACCGGCTTCTAGGTAAGGTAGATTAATTTTTCTCCCTTCGGAAGAAACACGAAATTATCCCGTGTGAGTCAAGAAAAAATTAGTAACTCCATACACAAAAATCATATAATCCTTTCAATAAAACACCTGTGGCAAACATATGATACAGTGAAAACCTTTGGCTACGCACTGATCGATTCAGTACCGTTTCAGAAAGCTCCATTATCTGATACGGCTTTTAAGAGATTTATAAAGAATAAATTCAGGGTTTTCTGTCTCAGTTACTAGTTACTGAAAAGTGATTCACCGCTACCAAAATCAAGGGATTATTCATCAGTCTTCCCTGACGAAAACAAACTTATTCAGATGGCTGAAAACCTTTGCCGTAAAATCATAATTAAAGACAAAGATTATATTCAGCAATGTGATGCTTTTTTCTACAAAACCTGACATCCTGAAAGGAAAACAATCACAATATCACTTCTTGTGGGCCGTTAAGAAAAGTATTCAAATTAAAGAAGAACAAATATGAAGACCTCCAGTCAACCATTTCGGTCAAATCTTGTCTAAAATTCGGAGCTGAATTTCATGTTCAGCAGTCTTCATCGTTTTTCGCAATATCATTTTACTACTGAATTCGGATTTCAGTAGACAGTTACATTCTACAAAATTCTGCCTTAGTAGTGACTTCTCTGACGTCTAACTACAACCCAATGTAAATGTTTGCCGCAGCTGTACATTGAATGAATATGCAGTTTCTATTAGTTTAATACTGTATGCTCCCAAAAACGTTAAAAATGCCTGTTTAGAAAACCGATAAGTGAAAATTATAGTTTTTAGTGGACATCTGAGGACTTTCTTTTGCCTGTTGATAATTTGCATCAACATTTTTTTCAAGCAATCCCTTCGCCGCATATCATTAAAAATCATGTAACACTACAACTGATAATGCTAGTCACACTTGCTGAATACAGCTTTACGATCTCATCTTCAATGAGAAAAAGTTTGTCAATGTAGGCAATATCGGTTTAACAAATAGTGAGACTCAAACTGTAAATCGCAGAGATTTGTTCGTGCGACTCCAAGCTTGGAGACCGAAAAGTAGGTCATGTCATCACCGACCCAAGCTGCAGCTATTTTTAGAAATAATATCCTTTAAATCATTTCAATTTGTTTAACAAAATTGCTTTTTGAGGTGATTTACAGCCTCATATATTAGTCAAGTCGTAAACACGGTATTCTTGTGTGACGAATCTATTAAAACGATAAATAATGACACAAGGACTAGCATTAAGTTAACATAAAAAAGTTATATCACAAAATGATTTCACTTACTTGATACGTTGTCCCTGGCTTCAATGGGGCTAGATGGTAATAGTTCAGATAAGGATTACTGAAAAATGGTGTGCATGTTCTCCACTGACTAGTAGGTAAAATTTTCTCTTCTGAACTGATTGAATTTAAATCAGCTTCAACTGATCTTACACGAATTCGATAACCTAGAATCGCAGATCCACCATTTATTGGAGGAATCCAGTTTATAACATGACCATATGGATAAATCCCGAATTCAGAATGAATAACCTAGATAAACAGTTTTCATTATTGAAACTTCAGTGAACAGAAATCGGGAATTTAAGGAGGCAGGTATAGATATTCGAAAAATAAAAGTCACTGAGAATAAGACGATTTTGGCTAGTTAAACTTTGGTTTTGTAGGCGGTGATTGGCTTAAAAGTGAATCCTCCCGGCGATAAAGAGGGTGAGCAAAACAATACTGAAAGACAATGAAGAGTTATAGGTCACTCAAATAAATGAGTGTTCAAGTTGGTCACATAGCAGAAAGCTCAGTTGGAAACATGTTTTTTGAATCAGGAATTTTGTCTATAAAAAAGGTTAAATAACTTTTATATGTTGATATTTCCTAACGAGTTACATGATTTTATAGTACTTGCAAAGTTTTACTCCATATCACACAGTGTGTGAGATGTCCGATAAACAAATTAATAGGGAATTACTTACTGCCATAGCGGCCAAGGTTTACACGTATTAATATGCAAAGAGTAATATTTTCATGCACAATTTTATCTCCTACTTATATTTTCAGCACTTCTAACCACTAAATTTAATTGATGCAATGCAATAATACTTCTCATTTTAAAGCTGTACTTCAGGATTTGTCATCAAAATGAATGAAACAGTGCTGCCGGTATTTCCTTTCAAATGAGTCTTAAACAACTGTTGAATTCTATGAAAGACTCCAGTCTTAAATACTACAACCTGATGGAAAGTTCAAATCAGTGTGTGGATTGACTGTACATCACACCTGAAAACCTAAACTGATGAAAATATTTAGCAAAATTTTATTTTTGATTTTTGATTATACCCCGATTCCACACTGTATTTTTGGTACAAGTATGGAATTTTCAGCATGGATATCGGTAGCCCAAATTTTGCAGGCCAACCATAGATATCAGGTGTGCGTCGGCAGGGGATCGAACCCCGGACCATGTGCATGGTCGACGAGAGTCCTAACCATTGTGCCACCGATGCACTTATGCTTCCAGGAAAGTAATTTGTTCCTGACTTTGTTACAGAAGTCATCAAACATCGAACCATATTTATGGAAAGACACACTGAAGACTAAATATGCGATCATCTAGGACATTTTTAAGTGTGTGACCCTGAAAACAACTACTATTATTTCCTTGGGTTCCAAGCGGAACACAGGGCTACGGCAACGCATTTTCACTTTCTTCCGTTTTCTGCTGTCCTCCTCAGCTCCGTCCACGACTGACCATAATCTTTCAGCTCCTCCTCGCTACACGATTTCCTCCATGTCACCCTTGCACTGACGACCCACTCGCCGCTTCCCACTGGGATTCCAGTCGAGTAATGATCTGGCGTCCTAAGTCATTCGGCGGCCTCCTCAACGTGTGCCTGATCCATCTCCATTTTCTCCTACATATTTGTTGAACAATCGGCTCTTCGTTGGTTTGTTCTCAGCCAGAGTTTCTTCTTACTAACTATTCCTCGCCATCTGATCTTCACTATGGAACCAGAGAAGGGGGAAGCTGTCGAAAAAGTCTTCAACCTGTTGGAAATCGTTCTCGTGACACGCAGTGCAAGTTTCTGACCCGTATAGAAGGACTGACTGACTGACTGACTCTACATTTGTGTTCGAAATCAGGGTTTTGTTCTCTATGCTGCTGAGTGCAGAAGATTTCCAAACTGGTTTCAGGTTGATGAAGGCGCATCTTTCCTTTTCAATTCTGACTTTGACATCTTCATGTGTTCCGCCGGTCTGTGGTTGAAACCGTGTTTCCTAGCCGGACAAGTGAGGGAAATAACCTCTGTCGAATCTTTCCCATTGATGGTGATTGGTGCTGTTTGCTGTTGCTGTCGGTTGGTTATCTTCATCAACTCCATCTTCTCTATGTTCACCTGAAGTCCTGTCTTCGTCTTCTGCCTTTTCTTCCAGTTTGTTGGTTTTCGCCTGCAAGTCTTCGAGTTCATGTGACGCTAAACAGATGTCGTCTGCGAAATCCAGATGTCCTTGAATCTTCTTACTGGTCCAACGTATTCATGTCTTCTTACTCCCGACGCACAATCCAGTCAACTACATTTAGGAATATCACTAGTGATAATAGGCAGCCAGCGTTGTATTACGCCTGTGTTCACTTCGAACACCTCGCCGACACGTCGCATTGTCACTTAGCCTACTGTTGAATGAGGCTGAAAAAGGTTTGGGGTACTGCACCAGTCACCAAATTACTTCCCCGTCAACGCTGTCTGGTGAACGCCTTTTTGAAGTCGATGAAGTTAAGGTACAGGTTTGACTACCATCCTACGTTCGTTGATGATGCGTAGAGTTGAAATTTGATCAGAATATGATTTGCATTTCCTAAATCTAGCTTGTTTCGGGATGGCAGAATTTTGCGTCCATTGCATATTATTTTTTTCTCCAAGAAGACGTGAGATAACATTTTACTTAGCGTAGAAAACAGCATTATTCCAACGAAGTTCTTGCACATGCCTAAGTCGCCCTTCTATGGCATCTTGACAAGGTTGTTTCTCTTCCCTCCTTCCATTTTTTGTGTGCAATAATGGCATGGGCACATTTATCACATTCTCTGGGTCCGTTTTTGGTGATTCGGGTGAAAGAAATTTCGTCTGGCTCTGCTATCTTTCCGACTGGACTTCAATAGCCTGATCACATTCAAGATTTCTGCATTCGTTAGAGGATTGGTGTCCACTGGCAGGCAGTTCTGTGTGTTGTTGTTTGTGGTGTATTTCTGGACGAGTTGCAGGTGATGGTTGATTGAAGAGTCCTTTGAAGTGATCAACCCACTGTTTTATTTTTTTTCTCCTCCTTGGTAATTGGGCTCCCTCGGACATCTTTTATTGGTTTCGTCATCTGGGTTGATCTCTTCCCGCACAGAGACTTGGTTATCTGATAAAGTGTCCTGAGGTCTCTTTTACCTGCCACCTGTTTGTTCTGCTTCAGTTGCTAACCAGTGTGTCAGAATTGTCTTTTGTATTTCCTAGCACTCTTCTTCACTTCTCCATTTATTCAGTGCAGTGTACACTGAACTTAGTTTGTCTTCCTGTCGTATATTTTTTCACGGAGTAATCTTCTCTTTCAACATTCTCTTCTCCTCTCTTCTATTAGTAGCTTCCAGGTATCCGCTGAGAACCAATCCTTTTCTTTTCTCTTCTTTCCACCTAGAACAGTTGTACAACTTTCCTGGAACATCACCTTAAGAAAGTTAGTTTCAATGTTCTTCCACACAGGTTTCGCCAGTGATACCACGTGGTGTCTCTGACTTTGCTCTGATATCTGTGGTGAAGGCATCTCTTGTAGTTTTGTCCTTCACTTTCTGAATATTGAACTAGAGTTGTAGTCTTTCTTCAGTTGTTTTAGGGGTTTTCAGCCTCAGCTTGAGGATCAATTGAACTAGATGATAATCTGAGCCCATATCTGCTCCCTTTTTAGACTTTTTATCCAATATGCTGCGTCTCCACTTCCTTGAGCAGCACTGAGATGAAGTCTGTCTGGTTTGTGGTGTTTCCATCAGGCGGAATCCATGTTGCTTTGTGTATATCCTTGCGATTGTACACACTGCCTCCGAATACCAAATCACTGAAGGCGCTAAAGTCTAAGGAGAGTTCCCCGGTATCATTCATTTCGTCAGGTGAGAGTCTGTCTACCCATGATGAATTCACTTTCTGTATCATCTGCTCCCAGTTTGGCATTCATATCGCCCATAAGGATTTTGATGTTGCCATTTGGGATGTTGTCTATTACTGTTTTCAGTTGTCTATAGAAATCTTTCTTCTTCTCTTGGTTCGTGTTGTTTGTAGGTGCGTAGCATTGGATAAATGTGAATCTTGCTGTATTGATCCTGGATGAAATCCGTCCCCATTGCATTATGGCTTTGGTTGCCACTGGTGACATCATGATAGCCACTCACTCCCCCAGTGTGCTCGTGGATGTCGTCTGGGTGACCGGAGCAAATTACTACTCACCAGTTGACAATTTGGACACTCCACATCCATTTCATCTGCTCTCACAGATTCTTAGTACTTCTATGTCATATCTCTTCATTTCTTTGGTTACCTGAACAGCTTTCCAAGCCTCGCACATTCCACGTCCTTATTCTTATTCTTGCTTTCATCGAGAGAAGACACATCAGCTGGATGATTGTCTTCCCGGAGGCTTTCACCAGCTCGTGTAATTTCGTCTCTCCAACTCCAGCGAAGAATAAGTTTTTTTAATATTTTCTGAATTTAAATGTTTTTCTTGTGCGTTTAAGTTTCTGCAGCAGTTTGATTTGTTTTGTGATGTAGGGTCGCTAGCCCCACGCCGAACCCTCCCTCCTTACTAGGGCTTCGGACAGGCTAAAAAATTAGTGAGCTGGTAAACTAGATGAAGTTCTGAAAACGACTAAAGGCATTTATTTATTTCCAGTGATTTCCTCGTTAAAATGCAGCTCGCTTTTGTTTCACTTATGACTACTTAGTGAGTTTATTTCCTTATCTGTAAGTGGCTTTCAAACAATTGCAGTAATTTAAATTAAAGTGGAACAGCATTACCTATGTCATTTTTATAGCAAACAGGAAAGGCTAAAATACCTTCTTCAAATTAAGCAGTTTGCTTTCTCTTTGTTCCATAGATTACCAGCAAAAGTAACGTGATAGCGTAGTAAGTGAGATTAGTAAATAGAATTTGAAATAACAAATTCTACATTGCCCTTTAATGACTTATCTGCCAAAATATGAAACTTGAATACTGGCAAGGACGTTGGTATAGAAGCTTGCGTTAAATTGAGTCTTTTCTATAGTACACTGGCATCCTTTTAACTAAACGAATGTGTTGTGGGAATTCGCACTAACAATTAATTTAATGTATGATGAGAAATAAGCAATCCTAGAACGTGAAAGGACTAATAGAATAGCACATTTTACACAGTATTAGATAAATAAAGTAATATACCTCAACTGGACCGGGACGAGTACTAGGGGATGTCTGAACTGAAAAACTGTAGGGTGTACCCTGTCCAACAATACTGCGAGCGAATAATTTTAGTTGGTAATTAGTCCCACCCAGTAGACCAGTCAATTCGAATTTCGGTTTGGCAGAAGCATCAAGCGGAAAAGCAACTGGACCATACCACCCTTCAGGTCCTCCAAACGCTCTGTAAGTTAATTCGTATGCCAAAGTCGGCATGCCACCAGTATTAATCGGTGAACTAACATTCAACACTACAGTTGACTGAGTAACTGAATAGCTCTCTAACTATTGAAAGATAAAACAAAAAGAAGTTTAAAACAAAACTTGATAAAATATTGAATTCGTTAGGAAAAAACTGTTTCTTCAAAAGTAAATTTTATTAATATTACCAATTGGAGAATTGTCGATACCAAAAGATTGTCGAATGAGTATATTATTTAACTTTAAAACTGTCAACCAGTAGGCTCACTTGGTGTCCTGCAAGATGGAAGTAAGGGTTCATCTGTTAAGACTCACGTTCTGATAACTAATTTACAGATAGGCAAATTTTTAGGGTGACTACCATTTTCGTACTTATAAAAACAGTGAAATATTTGATGATGCAGGCGAATAGGTCGCTAAATGATATTCACTACAGCTATCTAGCCTTAAGTGCGGTGATGGAATTTAATGCACCACATGAGGAATATTGTTACTAAACTGAATGATCCAACACTGTTCAGCATCATAGTGTAATGCAGTCAGGGCTTCACATCAGCTAACTATATTTAATGTCTGGTACGAGGCTATATGATGGCAAACATATAGGCATGCGGAATAACAAAAAAAAACATTTGTAGGTCATGCTGAACATGAAGGTTGCTTGGTATTTGGTCATCAGCTTCATCAAACAGTGAGACATACTGGTAAGTTGCACGGTATTCTAATCATCTTGTTTTCTTATCTTTAACCTTCCACCCTACATTTTACTGGGTCACATGAAACCACTCAAAAATATCCCCATTAAGTGAGTTCGTAAATCATTACTATTATTTAACTGATAATGTAACTATCCCGGATAGACTTAAATTGGCGGCCGTTAGTGAAGTTATCATTTCACTATAATCATCAGAAAAAATGGCCAAGTATCTTGTGAATAGATGGCATGTTACTGTCTGATTCTTATCACACAAGTTTCTACTATCAATTATTTATTCATACGTGTGATGTCCAGTTGATATTTCCTGAACCGAGTTGATAAGCCTTATTTTAGCATATGGGCTCAAGAATATTCTAAATTTTCAGAAAGTTATTCTGTGATTAGATGGTGGGTTGTAATTCCCTACAAGTTTATTCGATATAACACAGTCATATACTTTTCTAATATAGATTCTGATAGATTATAAAGTGAATGCAGAAGTGGATCATTTTTATGCACTGCGAATAGACCGCAGAATCGACCTAAAGCATTCACAAAAAGCTTCACGGGTCTACAGATCGTACTTTAGATAATCTTAGATGCATCTTTAATTTCTTGCTTAGCTACTTTATTCTTCTTATAATATACATAATTTTAAGCAAGTCGTTGAATTTTTTCTCCTCACCAAAATTTGACCTGTACCGTTGTTAGGATGCACCATTGTTGAGGATCTGTTATACTTTAGTTCTTCAGTTTGCATTTTATGATCCTTTGATAGACGACAATTAGTAAACGACTGTTAGCTCACATGTTAGTGATAACAATAACATAATGTAGGAATATTTTTACCTAAAACTGGAATAAAATCAGTTACTCCACCATTCATTTGTATGTGAGGTGTCTTCGTAATTCGTATGTCATTCTAGTTACACAGATGTGAAAAAGTAACTGGCAAATGACAATAAACAAATTTATCACAATCATTAGATGTATTATGAAATTTTACTCATTTTAACAACATAAATGGCACGCATCGATCAGCAATATCAATAAAGTATTCATTAAGTTTTTGGTGATGTTTTCCATCAACTAAAAGAGTCACCAATGTTCTTCATCAGATCATTAAGGAGCTTAAAGCTGGGAAAAACATGATTTCTGTGAAGTTTCTGTTAGAATGATATGAATCGATTAACTTCTAAATCCACACAGGACATAAAATACAACCCGTAATAACGAATATATCAAACGATGAACAATTATTTGGATTTATCATTAGGTAATAGTCATTTCAAGTCGACTATTTTTAATCTATTTAGTAACGAAATTAACATTTATTTGTCATGCACTTCTGTGAAATGACTAGTGACTAACTAAAATAATACTTACTGTTGGTTGTCCAGGTACAGATGATCGTCGAAAGCTAACCTTGCTTTCATTTGTGCCTTTGATATTTGTAGCTTTGCACACATAATCATCGTATATAAAATGTTCTGTACGTAAACACGGAGTAATCTGAAGCCATGATTGGCTGTGATCCCAGTAGTCATAGCTTATTATTACAAAAGTCGAATTCTGCCCGTTTAAAATTTGCTCACCTCGGCGATACCATGTCCTATGAGTGGAGAAGAAGGCAGTAAATGAAAACAGAATGTTATTTTATTTATTTTTATTTTTGAATACAGCTTGATTCCACACTGTATTTTTGGTACAAGTATGGACTTTTCAGCATGGATATCGGTAGCCCAAAATTTGCAGGCCGACCATAGATATCAGGTGTGCATCGGCGAGGGCTCGAACCCGGGACCATGTGCATGGTCGGCGAGAGTCCTAACCACTGTGCCACCGACGCATAACACACGAAATTGAATTTCACAATCAAAAGATATTAAGCAGATGATATTTAATGCTATACCTAAAATGCGGTGATTTTCCATATATATATATATATATGGAAGCAACGATTATAGGTATTCTAGCAAACAGTAAACTGATCTACACTCACCATCAAAGCCTATAGTTCATGCACATACCTAGACCTGATGGGAGCCAGATTAACTTATCCAACTTAGAAGCTCGAATAATAGTCGAGTAGTCATGTGTAAAACATCAGCAGAAAATACGATAACCTAAGAAATCTGGCACTAAATTACAGTGCGCCGCAGTACGTCGCAGCGTCTTATCAGTTAGTTTTTAAGTCATACCTGTACGCTAGTTACCAACCAGGTAGTATGAAATACAGGTGAATGTTCCTTTTAAAATCCCGTGACCATGTAACAGATTGTAGTCAAAAATACTAATATGTGACTAATATGTGGCAATGTCTCCTAAAGAATCCAGTCCCGCTCCACTTACTTCATCCTTAGCGACTTAGTATTATTATCCGTTATCACCCAATAGGTTTGTGTGTATGATAGAGAAAGGGGTTCTGCGTACTCAGTTGCGACTACCCAAACTACTCCGATGGGAATATTACTCTACCCATCTGCATTCAACACTATCATGCGTTTAGGATGTTCACTGCACAGGAATCGCAAACTAGGAGGAACCTCAAATGAGAAATAACTCAAACTCGAATTTAGTTAGGATGGTACAAAATTTTTGGTAGAAAAGGAGCATATTACATTTATCTAGACTATTCTTCATACTACTGATATTTTCCAGCAAGAGTATATACTAAGACATAAAATATCGATATAAAGTTACAAGCCTTCGTTTCATATTTTCTACAATAAGGTTACTACCATTACAACTTTACATTGTAATAGAGAAGTAAACAACCAACACTTTAATAATCCTCATGGCTTATCGTCTATTATCAAAGCAAACTATATGAGTTTCAGTATAACTATCACCAAATTACAGTTTGTGTTCAAGTTCCCGAATTATTAAGTTACTTTGACTTAACTACTCGGGCATTCTCTGTTAGCATAAGCTTTTATTCGACCATTGGTTATCCTTTAGACTAACGTGAGTGATTTTACATCATGTTATACACATTATTCTAGTCAGCTTATTGGTGAACCAGAACATAAAAATAGAAAATAACTTTTCTGTCACATGTTTCCAATATCCTTATTTTAGAGTTATTTTTAGTAAGGGGTATATCAAGCATAGTAGTAGCTACTTTTTATTCACACAGGAGAGTCATATTATACTTTCTCAAATTACATAAATATATATATATATATATATATATATATATATATATTCTATTGTTATGTACTCGTCGCTAAATTATTTTTATGGACTGGTCGAGAAACTAATAGTCCTGACGCGAGAAGGCGGAAATCAGAAGACCACTAGGTTTGCGATTATACTTCTATTGTCCAAACACAAGGAGACGAAAATAAATGGTCTCACACCAAAGTGGTAAGTAAGTAAAGTAGTAAAGTAGTTCACACAAATTGTGAATGCGAATATATATAAATAATTCAGACAAGCGTGGGAAAAATCATTAGACAGTCTTAACATGAATGGCTAATTATAATGGAGTGTCGATCCAATTATACATAGCGAATATAGCAGACATGCCAACAAACATATATGGATATATGTCACCAAGCAACGGACTGTCAACAAACACTCATATTATATATAATATAATATAAGGAGAATACACATTAGTAAAGGAGACAAGTTCACACAAGTGAAGTGGTCACAGACTAACCGAGCAAACAGAAAGAGAGACCAACATGCACACACACACATAAATATATATATGTGGATACATATCATCTATGAAATAAGAAAGCTGTAGCGATTCAGACCAAAACGTTTAACTCATAAGTCGAAAGAAAATAAATGACAGATTAAACCAACAGAAAAGTTTCTTTCAGTTTACTTACGATTGTAAGTCGTAAAAGTATATTGTTATTAAGATAAAGGGGTTTAGAGTTTAGCACTAAGTTAATGGGTTTCGAATAAATATGAAACCTCTTATAATTTATTTAGAAAGACAAGAATCACTGGAACAAAACGGTCCACTTAATAAAGTTTATTAATGAAAATTAATACAAAATACTTACCAAGTTGGATGTGGCATTCCGCGTGAAATGCAAGTTAAGTTGGTTGCATTGAATCGCCAACCAAATCTTAGTTCACTTTCCTCGTTATCTGGCTTTATTTCTGTTCTCAATGACATCTGAGGAATGTGCATCACTTGGATAGTAGTATTCCACGAAGTAGAATTACCTTCATTAGTTGCATGACAGCTATAGTTCCACGTGTCTTCTAAACTAATAAAATATTTAATACTATCATTTTTGTGGTGAAAATTTTATGGTATTATGATTATTTTGAACAAGAGGTATTATGATAAAGCAAATAAACCTATGTGTATATTGAAACACATATATTCCATAAACAGAATATTACCACTTTTTATTCACATAAAGCAGCGCTGACATGATTTGAACAAACTGAATAGTGGATCTCCAACTAATTCTCAACTATTCAAAAAGTGCACTGATGTGTTGGTTGATGAGTTGTTACAAAGGAGGCTTTTGACAAGCACGAAACGCATAATGAATTTCTTTCCATATTAATTATCGTCAATATATGACACTTGGTCACACCACTTGAAAAATAGACATCACTAGGTGAACGAACATATTAACAGATATCCAGTCACTCTTTAGCTCTTAAATTACAGTGCATGAAATTTTCAATTGCCGAATCTTTGTGATAAGTGTCTAGGTCTACTAATACAGGCTCTAACAGCCAAAGTAAAATGTTTCACAGGTATACAGCCGGTAAAAAACAACACACAAATCATCAGAATAAGCTGTTTAGTCTAAAAAGTCAATCTATGTCTGCCGACCAAGTGTACAATCAAGCCATTAGACTGACGAACATAATACTTCTGTGAACTTTCGCAAACATTAAATTCAATAATGGTTAAGAAAGGTTATAAGTACACCTTATTTATGAGAGTGACATGAAGCAATGTTTTTAAGAGGATTATTCAAAATTTTGTCAAAAATGGGTTTGCACAATCATTAACAGATTTCAGACCTTATTGGCATACGTTTTCGACAGCACCGCGGTATTATAAGATGTCATTCAACAAGACTTATTCAATTCAATAAATTCTTGAGTACTATTCAACAATACAGTGAATGCCTGTAACATTCAATAGATTCCCATATAGAAACTTACGTTGTATTTTGAATGGTTAAGAAGATATCGTGATTCAACGGGTCATTTTCATCCTCACGTCTCCATACATGAATACGTTTATCATCAGGCTGAACTCCCTGTATATACGACATGCTTGAATTAAAACGTTTAAAGTAAAATTCCGTAAGAGTTGTGGCACGAACTCGACACTGAACTGTAGCAGCTCTCCCTAAAATTAAATAAAATGTGGAAATTTCAACAAGTTTGAGGAGAACATTTAAATATGAGTAAATAGTGTCTATAGAATTAATAATAAAGATGGCGTATGTGGAAATTATCCTTATCTACATAAATAATAATAGTATCACTGAATAAAATGTGGATTGTTAAACTTCTGTAAGATAACGCAGCAAAAGAATACTTACCAAGGTCCACATAACTATGCATAGTTGTAAGTGGGATCAGCTTCGGAGGGAGAGTAACGTTGAAAAGCATCTCAGCTTCAGCTATGGAGACAGAACTGGAACCAGAATATGTTGGAGCGACTGGGATTATGGCAAGACATTTATAAACCCCAGAATCCTTTTCCATGAAGAGAAAATGTAGTAATTGCCCGTTACAGACGTTAAAACCATAGTTATAAAAGTTTTATATAAAGCTTTCATAAACCGATGCTGACCAAGCTTATCTGTCACTAGTTATGTAAATGTCCTACTTACTCATAACATTGAGTTCGAAACAGAACCTCGAATATTTTCTGCCTGTAGATACGAAGTGTCATTCATTCACTTGACATTTTTGTGACCACTTCATACTAATATTTAATCTCATTATTCCATTGTTTTCATCAGACTTAAACTTTCGGATTCTCTCAGGTGTGATTAGTTGGTGATTATTTTACCCTTAGCAAGTAAGCATACATCTCAAAATGGGACTACATAACTTAGCTGACTGTGGGTAAACAAAAACATAATATAAAATAATATTCCTTCCTTACGCTTTAACAGTCTTCTGACTAAAGAAACACACTTCACAAAAACTTTAGAATAAGCAAACTACGCACTTAAGAGAAAAATTCTGTTTAGCAGAAAATAATCGAAAAGTTCATGTTATTACACTGTAATCAGGTGTTTAACTAAGAATTTTCACACTTTATTCATACTTTCATACTCCTTTTTGAACATCACCCCGATATTGGGTAATGCTTAATTCATTTCAGAAGTGGATTAACCTATATTTACCCATTATGTTTGTCTAACGATCCTTTTAAGATTTTTCTCGTTAAACTCAGGAACTTTAAAAACCTAGCAAATTCATAAAATGTTTTTGTTTCTTTCTCATTGTTTGGGTGCATGTGACTATTGTTCCCTGTAGACGAAAACTGCTTACAATAAAATAATAAAAATCACTGAAATGAAATGAAACCTGCTTCACTTTTTCAGACAAAGAGTTCATAATTCAAAAGAACGGTTACTGGTTATTTTCTTCACGACCGATGATGATTCCTTAACTGAAAGATGAAGTACCTAGATAAGCCACGTCAACTGAGCTTGTAATGCAAGTTGTATTGGCCGTTGCTTTAGGAATTCCATTTTTCGTGCTCGGGAACATATACAAGTGTGGTTAAATAAATGTGTAGTAAAAACTATCAGCAGTGGGATATTAAACCATCTGGTCCGAACCGGCCACAAAGCCAGCATTAAGGAATCATTCTCTATCATGTATTGGGTACCAAATAAATTGCCGAAAAAAGTGCAGGTACCGCATACTCCAAACAGCAGAGGCTATCGCTATTCGCGTTAAAAAACCAGTGCTTTCTGTGCAAAAGAATCAAGCCCAGCCAATACTACTGCCCTGGCCTTCACAGTGGAGACTATAAATTCATGAATTTGTAATATTATCTTTCCTAGTTTTTCTGACATTCAGTTTACTTTTATGCTGATTCTATCGAACTGTAATCTATTGATATCATTATTGATTCAATGTTATTTCAACGATAATGTTGTTAATGACACTAATTCACTCACTATTATGTATAAATGACTGTAGAACCTGATGAAGTACTTACCGGAAAAGAATATTCTTTGTTCAGTCACCATTCTTCTGAAAAAAATGTTAATGGGCATTTTATTCAGTTAATAATTCAGTCTTAAAAATTCAGAGCGCTTGTTTCCGTTACCCGATTTGACTGCACAGCAGGAAAGTAAATCAACTTCATGGTTGTGGTACAGACATTCATTATGTGCAGCCTTCTATCATTCAATCTGATATACAGTTTATTTGTGTTCACTCAACCAAAGGTTTCACTGTTCAGATAACAAAAAATCCAATAACTTTAGAAAGGATGTAGACTGCTCAGAAATTTTAAATAATCAAGTGTTGGTTTGTAGGGATTTGATTGGTTTGCAGGATTTCATCATGAGCTGACATTAGTCAGAGAATTATTGAAAAACCTGGGAGTACTGGACAGCTGTTTCGTCCTAGTTTGGGACTCTTTATCAGTACGCACCCCGGGATTCAAACCCAGGACCCTTTGGTTACAAGGCGAGCTCGTGTACCAGTAGGGTGCATTTGGTCAGGTGTGAGGACAAATATTCGCCAAAGACATTGGCTAGGGGTCGCGCTATGTCGTGAATTGGCAGAAGTTAGAATTAATGAGCCATTGAATCGGGTCCCATTAACTTAACGGTGTACGAGCTCGCCTTGTAACCAGAAGGTCCTGGGTTCGAATCCCGGGGGGTGCGTACTGATAAAGAGTCCCAAACTAGGACGAAACAGCTGTCCAGTTCTCCCAGGTTTTCCAATGGTTCTCTGACTAATGTCAGCTCATGATGAAATCCTGCAAATTTTAAATAAGTTTGACACAAAACCTGGTATATTTATCTCATGTCAAAAGCATAACTGGCTCTAGACAGATGTAAATAACTCACTTCTGGATAGGATACCCGCGAAATCCGCAGTAAACCGACTTGATAATTTGTGTTCACTGAAAATTTTTCAGGATTTATTTTCTGTAATTCAGTTTGAGGATCCCTTTCATGATACCAGTGAATAGTAGGTGGAGGCTGGCCAGCAGCCAAACATTGTAGATACGCCTCACTTCCAGCAACCATAGTCTTTTTGTTTAACCCAACAATGGATGGGCCTGAAATTATGTGTGGACGGCTGGTTTAATTTTAGAAGAAGAAACGAATTATCAAGATTAATAACTAATTGTGTTTAGAAGCTGTATAAAAAATGCTATCATAAGAAAGTCCTTAATTATTGGTCAACAGAATATCTTTAGAATTTGGACTAACAGAAAGATGTAAACCGATCGGTAGATTTCCGCTCTTCGTGCTTTAGTTAGCAGAATTGATACAGAAAAACTAGAAAATCTCGCATAGGAGATGCTGATATTCAAAATCAAATACTCAGTTACATTAACAACAGCCTAAAAAGTACAGAAGGATTTGAGTCCAAAGATTACTCAAAAAGCTAAAATGGTAGTAGACTAATTTCTTAAACGCACCGTTGTGAGTCCAGTGATTATTCCTAATTCTGTTTTTAAAATGAAGCTTTTTATTCATTTAATATGTAGACACATTTGCACAAAATTATCCGATTGGAGTTATTTTTTACTTAGAAACTAACTCACAGATATCTCATAGTAATGGCACAACTAGCAGTTCATTTAATTTATTGCGTTCCTAAAATTTCGCTCTTAGTTTTACAAAACGTACACTATTTTCTAGAACTTCGTATTTAGAATCTGAGTTCAGACTATGATAATAAACAAATAACAATAACTTGTCAATAGCATGCGGAACTGTCAGTTCTAAATTAAAGATGGTAATTGCTTTAAAAATATCAGACGTATTATTTTTATCTGAATTATTCTTACCTAAAGGCAGAGACGCGCAGATCAAAGACAGCAGTTTGTTGTGGCTGTCTAGCAATTACAGTATAAATGCCAGAGTCTTCGTTTGTTGGATTTAAGATTGTTACTCCAGAAGTTGTTATAATATATTTGGCACCTGTCGTAATTTGGACTCCTTGAAAACGCCAGTGGATTGTTGGTGCAGGAAAAGCCTGTATAACACATCTGACGGTGGCTGTAAGGTCTCGGCAACCATCTTCATTAAAGCAGTTTCTATCTCCTGGTACAACAGGGATCCACTGGTCCTTTGGACAGTCTGTGGCCATGATACTCCGCCTAACTATGACACTGACGTCTTTACGGTCCATTTCAACAAAACGGTTCCCATCTTGTCTTCCCATGCGACAAGTATACCTTCATCAAGAAAGATGTGTATTTAAAATTCTCTTAATTAAACAAATGATGCGCTTAAAAATCCACTCAGAATTCAGTTCGTTATCGTGATTCATGAAAAACTTGGCCTCATTAAAATCCTAGAGAGCAAGGCTAGCTATGAATTCACAGTTTTCTGCTGAGATATCAAAATATTCCTAAAATATATCAGTCACTCAGGTGAATTCCCAAACAACTTTCAGAATAAAATATATAGCGCAATAGCTAACAAGCTCACCAGATCTAGAAGTGTAGTAATAAGACTGCTAAAATAATGAACTTGTTCAAAATAAATTCACGTCATTTTAAAGTTTGAATCCTAAATTGAAAGATGTCAACTTCAAAGTTTATGAAATGAAAACAAATATCTGTACATTATAACAAAAGCCTCAATAGTATCTCTTGCTAGATCGCCATGGATATCACTAGACTCGAGATTTGCAAGTGGTTATCTTTAGCGAAACAAGGGTGAACTTTCTAATGCTACGAAATGTACCGATTAGTTCATAAGGAAAGAGTTTTTGTTCAGCGAAGAAATATTTCTTCTCAACAGCTCCATTTTCAAGCTGCACGGTCGTATTTATATCACGAAAAAGGCATTAAGTTGCCCTAGAAATTGCTCAGTCAATATACATATGATAAGAATAAAGATAACTCATATGATGCACTAAGGAAGTAGAGCTGAAGTGGATGAATTACTAAACTTTTAAAGATTATTAAATAATTGAATTGTTGTTAAGATTTTAAAATAGTAGTTCAAGTCTTATCTAAAAAATTGAGAGTACTATCGCGACAACAATAAAGACGGCGAAGATGAAGTGAAGCAGGATGAATTCAAGTGGTAAAATAGAATAAAATAAAAGAACACTGCTATGACCAAGGTAAAGAAACGGGTTTAACTTTAGATGCTCATTAAGGTTCATTAGACGACTGCTCATTATTTACAAATGTAAAGTTTGCAGAAACTATTTGTTATCTATGTGATCACATCTACCCAGAATGCATAAACATTATAGCGCAAACTAACTATCTGAAGCAACTTTTATTGAGATGCACACTTAATGTGCAGTTTAGATTTAACGATGTCATCTATAACCAAAGGGATGGAGTTGCTATGGGGTCTTCGTTAATATCTCTTCTAAAGGATGTCTTCATGGATATCTTAGAGAGGTGTCTGTTGAAACAAACAATCTCGTCTGCATATGTATAAGGGATTTACTGACGACACCATTACTTGTGATGAAAATTCTTCAACTGTTGAGCTTCTAGGAAAATTTAATGGTTCTTACTCATATGTGCTTTTCACTATTGAAAAACAGTCGAATTCAGCATTTTACTTCTTAGGTGTCGCACTGAAGAGAAAAAAGGAAGTTATGTTGAAAAGGGTGAGTTGCTGAAGGTCAAAATGTACAGGGCAGTATAATAACTGCAACGGTTGGATACCTCTAGACAGAAAGAGATATCCTGTAGGTTCCCTAAGTTCTCGAATTCGGAAAATCTGCTTTATAGATACAGTCGATATAGAACTAGAAAACCCTCGGACAACTCTCTTGAGTGACGGATATCCTAGAAGGCTTATCCACAGAAACATCAAGAGAGAAACCATCCCCAGCCAAATCATAGCGCCAGAGAAGACACTGCTTATGAGTTCGGCTTTCAAAGGTGACACTATTTCTGAAGTAATCAAAAGTCAGTTATCTAAGGGTATTAAAGGCTCTTTTTATGCAGCTGACTTACAATTAGTATTTACCAGCCAAAATATGATTCGACAATGCATTAAGGAGGGACTACCACTTACGTCCACCTCTATGTGGAAATACTCATTCACATGGTCATATGCAGCTGATTACATTGGTAGTTGTAAGTGTGTTTTCTGTACAAGCGTAGTCGAACGCTACCCTGTTTGGTTAATGAAAGGTGAGTAAGTAAAAGAAGAGTTTGTGAACACTTTCTGGAGTTAGATAATTTAATCCCATGTGATTTATCCTTTAAAGTTATCTGCAGGACCAAATCTAACCATTCCAAGAGCTAACATTATTTCCACTTATCCATTACGGAAGCTCTAGATATACATGGAAAAACCTAAATAATGTGTTCCGAAAATTTTTGTTAAACCTCTTTCTTTACCTTGGTCATAGCAGTGTTCTTTTATTTTATTCTATTTTACCACTTGAATTCATCCTGCTTCACTTCATCTTCGCCGTCTTTATTGTTGTCGCGATAGTACTCTCAATTTTTTAGATAAGACTTGAACTACTATTTTAAAATCTTAACAACAATTCACTTATTTCTGATATTAGTAGGAAAATCTAGGTACAGTCAAACCATTCACCTTATTAACGAATACAAGACATGGCTCAGCACTAGATTTTCGTCACTTGATCAAATATTAGGTATCAAGAATCATTTTTTGATGCTGTATACATGTGTTGCAATACAGTGGGGAAATTTTAGGAAGGGTGACAACAGATGTATTGTCCCACAGGAATTAGTGGCTTTTAAACACGTCAGTGGAAGCATGAAAGTATGCAGTCATATGTACAGCATATAAGCCAAGACAAAGATATGAATAGTTGAACTTTTTAATTATCAGATACTACTTACTGTAAACTGTAATTCATGGTACTTTACATATTGAAGGAGGATGATGACCACCAGTCATTTGCAGATGATAAGCATGAGCACCCAAAAATGAAACATCTGTTTACTTTTGTACCACCTTATACATTGATTCAATTTAGTCTGAATTAAAAGTCATGTATAGTGAACTAAGACTTTCAGAAAAGACAGAAGCCAAAATAGATGACTTCGTTGAAGAATGACATTTGCAAAACAAGCGGCAAAGTTGCCTAAGAAAACAACTGAGTAAAATTTTGTAAAAACAAATCGAGATAAACCGGCGAAAGAATTTCTTGAGAGACTTAAAGTTACATGACCATACAAATTTTAGATTTATAAATTTGAAATGAACTTGACAGATTAGTTGAGTGGCCTAGTTGATGCAGTTTGGAAACATATTGCATAAAGGGCGGCAAGCATCTAGGTCAAAGATATTACTCGACCTACTTCATGCAGTAAATAAAAGTGCCCAACGTTATGGAACAAAAATTTCAGAAATTGTTGTCACAAGAAGCTTGAAACCAGCTTCATATTGTAATATATATATATATATATATATATATATATAGTTTAGTTCCGGTGCACAGCTAAAGTTATTCAAATACAACTAAGAATATACAACATGTCCATCGGATATCCCGTGCAAAATGTCTACAAATCTTAACGTCTGAATTCTTAAAACCCAAACTTACTATAATGCTGAGTTAAATCTCACTAATTCTGAAATAATTCTAAAATTCTATAGTAAGTAAATTCTGAACCTGTTCTCAAATGGATTCTTTAATGGCACAGACTAGAATGCAGTATTGGTTTTCAAAATGAATACAGCCGCTGTTGGCACCCTGTTCCTTTTTATACATTTGTAGGAGTAGATCAGAACCTACTGGGTTGGCTTATCCGCTTTATCCCAGCCCTCACAGGACATATTAAGCACGATCAGCATTATTCCAGAACACAGTGGGGAGATAAAATCATTTACTATTAAAAGGCATTATCGAAGAAAAGGTTAGAATAAGTTTAGAATTGTTGTAAGCTTGTAAGCTCATTAATGAAGGTGTTCTATTTGTTATCATTAATATTGTGGTAACATTCTATATTTAAAATCAAATAAGCTTTAATCTGATAACTCTCAGGTATAAGTGGAAAAATTCGTGATTTGTGACCCTTAATTACAGAATAAAGTATTAAAGCGAATAAAAACAATACATACTTGCCAGAATCATCTGAAGTCACTGAACGGACAACCAAAACTAACGCTATTGAGTTTACTTGTTCTTGACGATATACATGGGCCTTGTTTCCATAACCAACAGGGCTGTTTGGTTGAGATGGTAGGAACCAATCAATTACTGTCTTCTGGTGGGAGTAAGACCTTTGTACACACGTTAAGGCAAGGTTATCACCCCATTGGACGTAGAAGTTACCATCTTCATCCGCCTCTTTAATATCCAAACATGAAACAATAAATGCACAAATCACCAATACTATAGTTAGAGGAAGAAACATTTCAGGTAAACAAATTGCCACTATTTGTTTAATAAGTCAATACGATAGATATAAACAAGGATCTAACCTACGGTTTCAATTAGCAGAAATAAACTATTCCAGGTCCTTTAAACCTAAAATAAAGGTTGATGAATCCTGCAAACACAGACCAGGAGGAGATACTAATCCTCGTATGACCATTCATTATCTTCCATAATTTGTGCTACTTACCTTCCGAAAAAGGAAAAGCGGATCCTAAACACCAATCTTGCTGTGTCAACATATTCTTAGTAGGTTTTTAATACACTGTGAATGCATCCCAATGAGTAAATGACAGAAAATTTCTCCATAGTGCATTCCATTCATACCTGACTTACTGTTATCTCTGCCCATTCAAGACGTGTTCATGGGTTTTGATCTTGCCTTTTGATGTCCGGCTTCTTCCTCATAAAGTGTCGAAGTAGTACTGAAATTCCGAAGACATTATCCTTATTATATCTAATCTCACATAGTGGAGGAATTCTGTTATTATCACTCTCCTTACATACACAGGAATAAATATACTAAATTGTGTTATCAGTACCACTTTTCCATATTTCAGAGTTCACCTCAAGGACTTTTGACATCGCTATATGACTCTCGGAGAGTTTTAGTTGAAAAAAACGAACTCCATTGATATCATAGGGCACAACCTTGTCCTTAACGACGAACTTGGAGAAGAAAGCTGTCACAAAATAACCATTCGCATCTTGTGATGTCCATCACTTCCACCCTTGAAATTACGACAGTATTTATACAGTAGGTGCTCAGATTTTAGTTTCGGGTTTGAAATAGTGGGAACGACTCTGATCTAATAATTCACATGAGCATCCTTAACATTTCTAGATGAGATTTGTATTGCCTTCGAAAAGTGAAGTCTCAACTGCGTCACAAAGCATCACTTTAATCAAAGTCGATAATATTTATGGTCATGAGATACTTATGTCTGATGCAGATCTACTCAACACAGTGACACAGACTGTTTGGTAACTGTTTGTCTTGCTTTCATTGCTGGCCAGTAGAATGCATCAACATCCCTCTCTGGTGAACTGCTATGACATTCGGCAACTAGTATTTAGATTTAATGATTTATCACTGAATACTGAATGGCGACGAAAAGCTTTCTCTCGCGGTTATAAAGGGAGAGAATTTGTCAGTGCTTCATCAGTTTCATAACAGCCCACTAAACAGAATGTTCATCGAGCACTGAAAAGAGTTCCATCTGAACGTAGCACTTGACTGCGCCAATTGATGTTTAATGAAGACAATGCTTAAACGCCAACACATATTTATAGTCGTTTCGGTAGAGAATCCTCAGGTAGGTAACCTGAAATTCACCAGAATTTAAGGGCTTTAAGAATGCTTCAAAAGTCACACCGACGCTAAAATGCAGGTACATAGTTGGAGTAATTACATCTGTAGTCAGTGACAGTGGTATGGACACTCCCCATGGGCAACGGTAGTTTGAGACGAAGTTAATTTCTGCAAAGTATGTCACTTCAGCAGAAATATCACAAAATCATTCGTGAGATTATTCTTTGAAAAAGCTGACGTTTTTCCAATATGACACGCTTGAAAAGTATTCTGCTAGTTTCTCACAACTTTTTTCGTACTCTCGTATTGAAGGTATTATGAATATTCCCCTGTGTCGCAAATAGAACACAGGGTTTCAGCTTATATATTATTAGCATCCACATTTTACTATGTTCTCTGTAGTTGCCTTTAGCTAGCTCCGAAACTGTCCATTAGTCATCATTTCTTCCTCATCATCACTGCACCACAGACGCTCAACTCACACTCGAATTCTATTCAACGCCTTGGCGCGTGATATTACTCAGCGGTCTTTCTTACAAATGTCCGATCTCTTTCCCTGTACTTCTGACAATATGTCAGTGGTTGATTCACTGGCAGAGTTCAGTGATTCTCACCCCTTTTTGCTTTCTGATCTTGAGTATCGAGGGCAGACGGCTGTCGACAAAAGTGTCTTTAGTGACACGTACGTAAAGTCCCTGTACTACCACCACAAAGAATTTGGATCTTATTTCCTGTGTCGATTGTTGTTAATCTCAACGGTCGATTCGAGGTGTTGAACGCCTGCCTATTTCGTTCCCTGTTTTAGCTGGCTTTGAAAACCTAGCCCTTGCTATCTGCCAGTTGTTAAAACAGTAATGACAATGTTGGTGAAAGATACAAATTCCTTTAGATTTTCCACGTTGATGGTGGTTGCTGCTCGCCATTTCAGATTAGGCATCTCCATCATATTGATCTTCTCTGATTTTACTTGATGTTTTGACTTCTCTGGTGTTTCAAGAAACAGTTTGGTCTTCGATTGTAGGTCTTTGAGTTTATGTGACACTAGAAATAAGGCGTCACCTTAGTTCAAATCTTCTGAAGTCTCCTTCCAGCCTAACGTATTTCTATCTTCTCACATCCCATGGCCTATCATATGACCCCCTTGACCACAATCAGGAATATCTTCCAGCGTAGTAGACAGCCTTGTCTAAAACCTGTCTTCAGTTAAAGGCGTCGCTGACTTTCCCGTTATGAATCACATAGCATGTGGTGCTGTTGCATATGGCTGGTGAAGATATGGAGAATAACATTCCGTAGTGTTGAAGCAGTTTCCAAATTACTTGACAGTCGACTTTATCGAAGGCGTCTTCAGAGCAGCTGAAGTTGAGCTTCAGACTTCACCCCATGTTCCGTGATCATACATGCCATTGTGATATGACCCTCAAATAGTTTGCTTTTTTTTAACCCAGCTCATTTAGGGAGGCGTTTATCATCCAGAGTACCGGAGAGTTCCAGCGTTATTCCTCATCGTTTCTTCCAGTGACGCTACACAATGTTTTTTACTTTGCTTTGATGACTACAGCCAGTGTGGATCTGTCGTCTCGTTCTTCTGTTTCTGGACGTTGGACATAAATTGCGGTCTATCTCCAGTCACTTTAAAGGCTTTCGCCTCAACCCTAAAAGTTCCTTGCCCTAGATAATGGTCTGAGATGGCACTAGATTGCCTTCTCAGTTTTGTGTTTGCTGTACTGCCTTCACACTTTCTTGAGATTTAAATGAAATCCATCAGGTTTCAGGTTGTCTCTCAGGCCAAACTCATGTCACTTTGTGTTTGCACTTACTGCTAACAATCACCAAATATCGAAATTTCCATAGTCTGCGAAGAGTTCGATGTTCTCAACTATTTCGATGACGGCCTCTAGACCCTTGCTGAGTTCTGTCATTGTATTGTTTCCTGCCAGTTTGGCATTCATACCACCCATAAGGATCTTAATGTCACCATTCATTATCTCGTTCATAACCGCTATCAGTCATCTGTAGAACTGTTTTTCTCAGGATTTATGCTGCTTGTAGAAGTATAGCATTCAATAATTACGAATTTTCTTCCTTTTCAAATGATTCTTGCTGTAGTTATCTTGCAGCAGATAGTTCTCCACTGAGCAATAGCGTCGGATGCTGTTCTGGTGAAATCATGATAGCCACTCGCTCAGTGAGCTTGGCGTTGACATCCGGGGGATCACAGCATATTTTTGACTCTACAGTTAGGAATCTGATGCTATCGGATCTATACCACCTACTACCATAATTTCCGAGCACTTCTATGCTATAACTTCCCAATCCTTAAACAAACTCATCAGCCTTCCAAGATCCGAACGTTAAGAGAACACTCCATCTCACTGTGGTCATTTTAGATTTCCTTGAAAGGAAATACATCGGCTGAGTGGGTTCTCGAAGGCTCTCCTCCTTTCGGTTCCGGACGAGAACAGGCTCATTTTCGATTTTTCACCTTGCGTTGAAGTTTCCGCAGCGATCGAACTGATTTTCCGAGGCAGGTTTTGCTGTCGAAGACATTTCCAAGGTAGATAGAATTGAGGCGAAGAATAGACTTCCAATTGAAACTATGTCTGATAATAACAGATAGCGTTACAATGCATTTGAAAAATGACTGCTTTTTGGTGAACCGCTCTGGTCTTGGGTGGAATTCGCAGTCCAGATCTTCCTTTAGTTTTAGGGCTCTCCTGAACTTCCACCTATTCCTCTTTAGCTACTGGTGTATCATAATGGCATCCTAGGTAGTTTCCACAGAGATCTATGCAAGCTTCCTCGACTAAGTTGCCCAATGTCCACAACTTCTTGGTGACTGCCGACAAGGTACTCTTTGCTTTCACAAAAGAAGTCTATGTTTAGATTCATCAGGGACTTTCAACCTGATTCGGAATTTTCCTTGCAGTAGACAGTGGTCTCAGGTTATATCTTCGCAACTTCATGATCTCGTATCCAGCAGGTTAGGTTTCCATTGCCTAAACATCCATATGAAGTCCATCTTATATTTGTTACTCGTTTTATCTGTATCTCTTTGAGTGTACGAATGTGCTCGTAAACATGGTCTCAAATCACCAAAACATCAAAAGCGCAGAAGTTTTCAAATGTTCTCCGAAATCATCCATTTCACCAAGCGCATCTCGACCAATAACATGCCCCCTAATTGTGTCGTGTGCCACCATTAAAACTTTGATCACCTTTGGCTGAAGTCTTGTCCACTACTATTTGTATTTCAAGCCTCGGACAGGTTCCCATGTTTCCTTTCACTTCCGTCTAAAAAAGGATACGATGACTAACTGGCATCGTGAAGACTCACATGAGCCAGTTTGATTTCCCTTCCTCAATACAGGGAAGAACCCGTTTAGTTTTTTGTAGTTCACCTGCAGCTGATGAGGCGATTTCTCCAGGCAGACCTGCCAGCCTCATGTCCAAATTTTTACCTTTTTCCTGGCTGAGAACCAGCTAGTTAACTTTTAGATAACGCTTGTCAGCATCCTTACTGACATGGCGCCATCTATATTTGGTGTAAATTTGGGGGTCTGAAATTGAATTACTTATTATTATTATTGTTCCCTTGGGTACCTAGTGGAACATAGGGCTCCAACTGCACGTCTTCATTTGATTCTGTCTTCTGCTGTACTTTTCGCCT